AATTGTGTTCTTCTTGGTTCGTATAGATAGTGTTCAACAAAGCAATAAGATAGATTGTTCACTACTAGCACTGACCGCGTTCAAAAAAAATCAAACCACGATTAGATATTTGTCAGATTCTACGTTTTCATGTCTTGAATTTGGCTATATATGTGTTTTTTTGGATAAAAATAATCGCGGATTTAGATTCCTGCATCTGGGTCCCGGGATCCGGGTCCCGGATCCGGACTCCGGGCCCCGGACCCCGGGTCCCGGACCCCGGGTCCCGAATCCCGGGTCCCGGATTCCAGAATCCACCTGTCCATTCTAGGTATAAATCAAGGTTTGAAAAGCTATACAGATTTGTTTCGTCTCTGGACTTTCTTTAGATCAGACCTTATAGATGTAAATAGTTTTGAATTGGTATGAGTTGTACATTTCTCGCTTGTCTACACGGATGTATTTTTGAAAGAAGTTCTTTTTCAAAAGTTTAATTACATGAAGACACAGGTAATCGATGATGGAAAATAAATTCTGCATGTCTTGGCATGGACAATGATATGTATATTGTCACCAGGTACATGTCTCTTGTACGCATGGCACTCAGGTGCAACTACACTTACGTGATTTTTTACCTCATGTTTTCATGCTATGCCGTTTTTTTTAAATGGCGCTTCGCTTTTGTCGCTGGTTTTTCAAATGCGTTTGCTTGAAGTGTTCATAAAGTGTTCCATGTGATTTTATTTGAATTGCGTTCTGGCATTGCATCTCGCATACATTCTGACATCTAAACAACAGGCTTAAAGTTTGTCGATATTTTGTGTATTATCGTTCTTTACTTACGTCCTTTTCAAAATTCGGCGCGCTTTGCGTAAGGTCCGAAAATTGTGTTCTTCTTGGTTCGTATAGATAGTGTTCAACAAAGCAATAAGATAGATTGTTCACTACTAGCAATGACCGCATTCAATAAAAAATCAAACCACGATTAGATATTTGTCAGATTCTACGTTTTCATGTCTTGAATTTAGCTATATATGTTTATTTTTGGATAAAAATAATCGCGGATTTAGATTCCTGCATCCCGGGATGGGTCCCGGGATCCCGGGTCCCGGATTCCAGAATCCACCTGTCCATTCTAGGTATAAATCAAGGTTTGAAAAACTATACAGATTTGTTTCGTCACTGGACTTTCTTTAGATCAGACCTTATAGATGTAAATAGTTTTGAATTGGTATGAGTTGTACATTTCTCGCTTGTCTACACGGATGTATTTTTGAAAGAAGTTCTTTTTCAAAAGTTTAATTACATGAAGACACAGGTAATCGATGATGGAAAATAAATTCTGCATGTCTTGGCATGGATAATGATATGTATATTGTCACCAGGTACATGTCTCTTGTACGCATGGCACTCAGGTGCAACTACACTTACGTGATTTTTTACCTCATGTTTTCATGCTATGCCGCTTTTTTTTTAATGGCGCTTCGCTTTTGTCGCCGGGCGTTTGCTTGAAGTGTTCATAAAGTGTTCCATGTGATTTTATTGGAATTGTGTTCTGGCATTCCATCTCGCATACAGTCTGACATCTAAACAACAGGCTTAAAGTTTGTCGATATTTTGTGTGTTATCGTTCTTTACTTACGTCATTTTCAAAATTCGGCGCGCTTTGCGTAAGGTCCGAAAATTGTGTTCTTCTTGGTTCGTATCGATAGTGTTCAACAAAGCAATAAGATAGATTGTTCACTGCTAGCAATGACCGCGTTCAAAAAAAATCAAACCACGATTAGATATGTGTCAGATTCTACGTTTTCATGTCTTGAATTTAGCTATATATGTTTATTTTTGGATAAAAATAATCGCGGGTTTAGATTCCTGCATCTGGGTCCCGGGATCCAGGTCCCGAATCCCGGGTCCCGGATTCCAGAATCCACCTGTCCATTCTAGGTATAAACCAAGGTTTGAAAAACTATACAGATTTGTTTCGTCACTGGACTTTCTTTAGATCAGACCTTGTAGATGTAAATAGTTTTGGTATGAGTTGTACATTTCTCGCTTGTCTACACGGATGTATTTTTGAAAGAAGTTCTTTTTCAAAAGTTTAATTACATGAAGACACAGGTAATCGATGATGGAAAATAAATTCTGCATGTCTTGGCATGGACAATGATATGTATATTGTCACCAGGTACATGTCTCTTGTACGCATGGCACTCAGGTGCAACTACACTTACGTGATTTTTTACCTCATGTTTTCATGCTATGCCGCTTTTTTTTAATGGCGCTTCGCTTTTGTCGCTGGTTTTTCAAATGCGTTTGCTTGAAGTGTTCATAAAGTGTTCCATGTGATTTTATTTGAATTGTGTTCTGGCATTCCATCTCGCATACAGTCTGACATCTAAACAACAGGCTTAAAGTTTGTTGGTATTTTGTGTATTATTGTCCTTTACTTAAGTCCTTTTGAAGACCCGGTGCGCTTTGCGTAAGGTTTGAAAATTGCGTTCTTCTAGGTTTGTTTTCCCCAGTATAAAAGCGTTTAAAAGAGCAAGAAGGCGGATTATGCACCTGTAGCAATGAATCAGCGTTCGAAAAATATTCCTTGTTTTTTTCAAATGTTTTTTTGCGTTTTGTATTTACATCTGTTTTTGTATTTACAATCTTTTTCTGCCGATCTGCAACTGACACCGGCTCCTTCACGACCATGACAGGCACAGACTGGGCCATAGACCGCATCCACTTCGGAAGCTCCAGCTGCAAGTCGAAAGCCATACGAAGATAGCAATACAAGCTGCACGTCCTGGTGTGCCCAGACACATAGGTGAAGGTGTCGCTGTCACCCTGCCGCACGACCTTCATCGGGCCAAGCCACCCTTCTGATTGGAACATTGCTGCCAGCTTCTCCTTCCAGTGCGCGCCGTGAACGTTGGGAAATTTCAGTGGGAGCATGCAAACTTTATGCTCCAAATCTTCCAGAAACAACAATGATTCGTGCGATCCCCATCTTGACCGATCTCTTTAGAAGTTGAGGTCCGGTGGAAGAAGGAGGAAGAGAAGAGATAACATATGATCTAACAAATCTCACCTGACAGGTGGGGACTTAGTTGCTCTGTTCGCCTGCGTCAAACAGAGCAACCAATCGTTTCATAGAGCAAATAGCTTGGAAAAGAGTGGTTTTCGCTTGCTAGTTGCTTTGTTCGACTCCGAGTTGCTCTGTTCGCCTCCGTCCAACAGAGCAACCAAACGTTTGGCATGTGTCGGTTTTGTCTGGCAGGCCGATATGGGTGATGAGTACGATATTAATATTACCACTACTACTACTACTACTACTACTACTACTACTACTACTACTACTACTACTACTACTACTGCTACTGCTACTGCTACTGCTACTGCTACTGCTAATGCTGCTGCTACTGCTACTCCTACTGCTACTGCTACTGCTGCTGCTGCTGCTGCTACTACTACTACTACTACTACTACTAGTACTACTACTACTACTACTACTACTGCTACTACTACTGCTACTACTACTACTACTACTAGAAGTATTAATAGTACGCGCGGGTTCCGCGCGTCTACGTTTCGCGCGGTTTCCGCGCGTTATGCGCGTTATGTGCGTCTGCGTTTTGCGCGGGTTCCGTGCGTGTTGTTCTGCGCGGGTTCCGCGCGTGTAGCCGCATTCAAATTTCTTAAAGAAATTAATATATTACCACGAATATTACTACTTGGGAACCTTTACATAATAACCTTGGGGACCTTGAGAACATTTACGTGGAAAACTTGGGAACCTTGGGGGAACCTTTACAATACAACCTTGGGAACCTTGACAACCTTTACTTGGGAAACTTGGGAATCTTGAGGGAACCTTTACAATGCAACCTCGGAAAGCTGGAGGAAACCTTGACAATATAACCTTGGAACCCTTGAGGACCTTTGCAATGTAACCTTGGGAACCTTGAGGGAACCTTTACAATGCAACCTTGGAAAGCTTGAGGAAACCTTGACAATATAACCTTGGAACCCTTGAGAACCTTTTACAATGTAACCTTGGGAACCTTGAGGGAACCTTTACAATACAACCTTGGGAACCTTGGAAAACTTGGGAACCTTCAGGGAACCCTGAAGAAACCTTGAAGGAACCTTGAGGGTACCTTTTGGGAACCTTGAGGGAACCTTGACAATCTAACCTTGGGAATCTTATAGAAACCTTTACAATGCCACCTTGGGAACCTGGACCACGTTTACTTGGGAACCTTTACATCATAATCTTGGGAACCTTGACAACCTTTACTTGGAAAACTTGGGAACCTTGCAGGGAACCTTGAAGGAACCTTGAGGGAACCTTTTGGGAATCTTTTGGGAACCTTGAGGGAACCTTGAGGAACCTTGGGAACCTTGGGAACCTTTACTTGTGAACCTGTACTTGGGAACCTTTGCTTGGGAACCTGGGAACCTTTACTTGGGAACCTGGGAACCTTTACTTGAAAACCTTTACTTGGGAACCTTGGGAACCTTTACTTGGGAACCTTTACTTGGGAACCTTTGCTTGGGAACCTGGGAACCTTTACTTGGGAACCTGGGAACCTTTACTTGGGAACCTGGGAACCTTTACTTGGGAACCTTTACTTGGGAACCTTTACTTGGAACCTGGGAACCTTTAGTTGGGAACCTTTACTTGGGAACCTTTAATTGGGAACCTGGGAACCTTCACTTGGGAACCTTTACTTGGGAACCTGTACTGGGAACCTGTACTTGGAACCTGGGAACCTTGGGGGAATGAGTTTCGGAGCTGCTCCGGTCTGCTCCGAAACCTTTACTATGGCTGAAGACCCCAAAGCATTCTGCTGTTGGGGAAATATTGATGGAATAATGGGATATTAATTATTAAATAACATTATCAATGACATTATTATTATGGCTATCAATAATTATCAATTATTCAATAACATTATCCCAATAATAATAATAATAATATCCCAATAGCCATGACTCCCCATGGATGGTGAATCCATGGCCTGCTCGAGGTCTCCAGCTTTTCGTTGTACCCGGGCTCTAGCTCCAGCCTGACCGTGGAAGGCGTGATGTCCGTGATCAGCTCTGAAGGCCGGCCAGAGCTGAGGGTTGGTTTGAAAATGGTGAAATAACCATAGGAAACTATAGGGAACCATAAGAAAAATTATGATTTTACTGAAAAAATAGGGATAACCGAAAAATGGTGATTTTACCAAGAAAGATAGGGATAACCATAGTAAAACTGTGATATACCTCCAACTATGGGATATTGATGAGACAATTACAACACTCACCATCCCAATCTTCATAACCCCTTGGGCTGTTTGATTGGAGTGGTGTCATTTTAGTAGCAAATGACATCTATTTGGGTGGGTATATACCACTAATTGGCCACTTTAATATTCACAAAGATTACGAATCAATGGATATAGGGGTATCCTATTTTCGTTGTTTTGAGGGAGGAAAAATGTGGTAGTTCCCTGGTGAAACCATACAAACCGTTGAGAAGCCATAGGAAACCATTGGGAAAATGATGATTTTACGAAGAAAAACCAGGATGATGCTGTGAAGTTGGAGGCTTCATCGGGTCGGGATCAGGTTTTGGTAGGATGAGAATGGGAGAGTGATATAGCCACCAATTTCATTGGATAATTGTGCTATTAAAATCAGCCAAAACTTTGGGGATATTCATAGGGATATAATAGGTACCGGAAAATTGACAAAAACGATATGGAAATGGGAATGTCTCAGAATAGGGGTGCCATAACTGAGTGCCCCAAGCCCTTCTTTTTTTACTAAACAAGTGAGCTTGGCGCACTCCTAATATGAGAGATTCCCAAATGCATGGGCGAAACCCATTCTTTGAATCGTGATTTGACCAAAAAAAATTGGAGGAAGACATGGTGCAATCAAGTAACCACTACATTTTGGTTACATCACCATTATTGTTAGTAAACTCACAATTGTTGCTATATCACCATTTTTGTTCGTTAAATCACCATGTCTGTTTGCCAAATCACCAGTGTCCTCAAATCATCATTTGTCTTGATTAGATCACCAATTTTTTGGATGCTTAAATCACCCTTGTTGTTAGGTAAATCACCGTTTTTGGATGTTGTTGGTGCATAAATTACCATAAATCACCATAAATTACCACAAATTACGATGAATTACCATGAATTGCCATAAATGACCATAAATCATCATTTTTGCTTCAAAAATCACAGTTTCGAGTGTTTCAACCCCTGGGAACTCCTCCGTGCATCGCGCCGCAGATGCCTCCGGCACTCAGACCTTGTCGTGGTCTTTGACCGGCCTGGACCCCGCGTGTGCCAACGAACCTCGACTAAAAGCCCTGCGGGATCATCTCCCAAAAACCATAGGAAGACTTTGCAGATGCAGAATGTTAGTGTTGGGTAAAAAAAAATATGGGTCATATCCCAAGATTTAGTATGTAAGCCTTCATACATAGTTGGTTTATAAAACCATCGGTTCATTCATAAACCAGTCCGTAGCTAGTTCGATTAAAAATCTACCATAAAGCCTAATTTTTGTGAAAGTGGAGGGGTACCACCTCCCAGGTTCAAAAAAATCCTTATGGATGACCTGTTGATGTTATTTTTCATGGGTTTAAATGGTTAAAACCATTGAATATATGGAGATATAAGTGGATATAAGTGATCAATCATGATTGATTGATGGTATGGGCTTATATGGTCCGATACATTGAGGATTCTCGGAAGCCACTATGAGAAAGTAAGTAGCAAACTTACAAGGTGGCCCCCCAGTGATGTTTGTTGGTTTATAAATTGTAAGCCGCATTCATCACTATAGTTATGATTTCTACAAAGCCTAGTCCGCCAAGTTATGTTCACCAACTTAGCTATCGTTCCCGGGCCCCATCCAAATGAAATCATGGAGATATATGGAATCATTGGGATATAACCAGAATCCCAGCTGAGATGGCAACGGGATATTTCGAACGGGGTTTCCATTGTTCACCGGGATCCTAAATTTCTAAGTTCTATCTTAAGGGGACTCTGGTGAGTCACCCCGATTCCTTCCATGTTACGAGCTGCTCACATCTGCTCACATTGCTGTACCAACAAGGTCCAGGGAGGTCAACCCAGTGCTACTGCGCAGCTGTGTAGGTGCCTCGCTTTGGCCACGACCATTTCAGCGACCATTTTTGGGTACGCCGGGCGCACAAAGAGACATCAAAAACAAAACCGTGGAGGTGGCTGCCCCGGGGTGGTTCGGACAGTCATTCGAGTCTCATGATATCAGCGTGGGGCCTAGGTGCAAGCTTTGGAATCAGCAAACCTTTGGCATAAAGACGCCAACCGTCTTTCTTTGCGGTGCAGCAACTCTTCACTACTTTCTGCATTGTCACCGTCCTCAGGGCTGGGGGAAAACTGGCAGATGCGCGTATCAGTGTCTCGTTGCCTTCCTTGAGGGTCACGTCGAAGAGCATTTTGCAGACTTGCGAGAGGCCACTTGGGTTAGTTCACCTGGTTCACCAGGGTTAAAGAGAATAGAACTTTAGTATTTATGGGGTGAAACTAATAGCCAGGGCCAACCACCATAACTGCCACCACTTAACCTGCTTAAAATCACGATATCCCTATGATATCCCATCATCTTCCTGAGTTTCCCCAGCTATTTGCTGGATATCCCACTTACCCTCTGGTAAACAAACGTAGCTATGGAAAATTGACCATTTATAGTTTTTTTACCCATTAACAATGGTGATTTTCCAGTTCGTTCTGTAAACGTTTACCAGGGGGTACCCTCTGGTAATCAAACCTTGCAATGCTAAATGCACCCCTTGTTGATGATTTTCTCAGCACACCTCCATGGCTAGTGCGAAAATATTTCCCGGCCTGCCATGTTTCATTGCCAACGGGCTGCCATCTTTTTATCTCCCCAACCATATCCCCATCATAGCCCCATTATGGCTGATTGTTGATCCCAATTATTTAATTATATTTTTTGGCGGTGGTTACATCACCATGAAATATCAATTTTTTCTTGGTAAAAACACGGTTTTTCCTAGGGTTTCTTATGATTATATCTATATCACTATTAATCCAGCCCAATTTGTGGCAATAATATTGATGATCGTTGTTGATATTGCATATGATTTTCTTCATGCATACTAACCGTGGATATCCCATTAAAACCCCACTAAATCAGCATTGTTTCTTGGTCAGATCCTCAATTCATAGCCATTTGATAGATGATATCACCATATTTCCATGATATCCCCATTAGATCACGATGTTTCTTGGTAAAATCACCATTTTCCCTATGGTGTCCTATGTTTTCCCATGGTTTCTGGCCGAGACCTGCACCGTGCCCAACTGCTGCGGGGCTCACATCCACGTGGGAACGGATTGCAGCGATGCGAGCACCATTGGAGGCCGTGGGGCAGTGGATGGAAAGTGTTTTTTATGTGGGAAAAAGCATTGATTGGATTTTTTGGGACTATTTACTGGAAATATGATGGGGATTTCATGGGATTTAGCGAGGCTTAATGGGAGATTTTGTTGGGATTTTATTGAGATTTCATGGGGTCTAATGGGATTTCGTGAGGTTGGGGCTGGGATTGAGAATGAACGATGGGAAGATCATAGGATCATGGGGAGTGGATCAAACTGCCGTTGCAGTTTCACATACCATCTGCTTATGACTAACATAGCCATGGTATAGATAACCCATTTATAGATGATTTTTCCAGCTATAAACCTCCATTTATTTACGGGATTTTCCATGGCTATGTTAAATAACCAGATGGTATGGCCCAATTCCACCTAGGAAGGGCAACGACTACTGTAACATGCTTGAGATGAAGGGCAATCGATGGGATATCGCTGTCGAAACTGTGGTACAAGTATGGCACGATAGGCATTTCATGGAAGTTGATAGTATATGAGGGTGGGTTTTAACTGTTGAAAACGGTTTCTTTAAAGAAAAAGGGGAAGTGAGGCAAGCAAAACTGAGTCTTGCTCAGCCTACAATCAGGAAGTGGCAATACTACAGGCTTACCAACGGGCATCTGCTATATTCCCTCAGAGAAGTATGCCGCTGTCCGAAATAGTGAACACTCGACAGCAGCTCATGACCAAGCTTCCATGCCCCGATTAACACAGCGCATGAATTGTTCCAGATGTTGTGGTGTCGTGGTTTCTCGAATTGCTGCAACTCATATCACTCAACCGCAACAATATGAAGCAAACTCAACTTTGCTGAAAAGTGTGTGATATTGTTTGAAGTGGATGATGTTTTTTTATCCCACAAAAGACAAAGTCGCGTTGATTTAGATAGCTGGGAATAGTGATCATCCAAGTCATTAGACCATAACTGGTTGGTGGTGTGGAACATGTTTTGTTTTTCCTTATATTGGGAACTTCATCATCCCAACTGACTTTCACTCATATTTTTCAGAGGGATAGGTCAACCAGCAGATAAAATAGTATTGAAACCTATAGTGATTTGGGGATCCCCCATGTTTAAGAAACTCATAGAATTGGTTTTCTAAGGGAAAATGTTAACCGGAAAACCTTATATTTGTTTGGTGATACAAACCATGGTTTCCGCTTAAGATTTATCCATTGAGAAACCCACAGTGATTAATTTGTTCCATCTCCTCAGGTTTGATGATCACTTCTACCGGTGTTTGATGCCGTGGACAGGCCACTATTGGGATAGCAGCGACTATACAACTGACCCTTGGCAGACGGTCATGTGGCTCAGCTGCAGGGGAAATGTTGGGAAAATGGGAATTGAACCATGAAAATACCCTCTGGTTATGATGATTTCATGGATTTGAATGGTGATTTATGGTGATTTAATGGGCTGTAATGGGATTTACCCTGTGGTAATTTGTTACATAGCGAACTGGAAATGGCCATAGAAACAGTTCGTTGATTTAGCCAGCTATAAAGTGGTGATGTTCCAGTTCGTTCAACGTTTACCAGAGGGTCGGCGAATTTCGATGGGAAAATGGGTGAAATCCACGGAGAGCTCAGCTGATCCTGCAGGGAGCCAGGGATTGGGTCAAGCCATTTACCCAAGGGGACCGATTTTGGGCCATGTTTGGTTTAAAAAAACATCCAAGTCTTGGGGTAAATTTGACCCAACTGAGTATTAACCATCTAAGTCATGTTTGGTTAAAGAAAACCATCTAAGTCTTGGGGTAACTCAAATTTGGATTCATACCCAACTGAGTTAGCGTTACCTGCGGGATTTCGCTTAAGCCACCTGAGGGTCTGGTCCAAGGGGATGCCGTGTTTGGTCGAAGGTTGAATCATGGGATTCTGATGGTCCCAGAACAAGACAAATCACTAAGGTTAGTAACCATTACTGGTAACCATAATGGTTCATGATGGTTAACAACTAATGATAACTATTAACTATCATTAATGATTTGTTTATCAGTAACTATCATTAATATGGTCACTAATGGTTAATGATAGTTAATGATGGTTAATGATGGCTCATAATTTCACAATGGTTAATAAATGATGGTTTTAATGGTGGTTAATGATGGTTTCAATGATGGTTAATAAATGATGGTTTTAATGATGGTTAATGATAGGTAGTGACGATTAATAAATGATGGGTTTAATGATGGTTAATGATAGTTAGTGATGGTTAAGAAATGAAGGTTTTCATGATGGTTAATGATAGTTAGTGATTGTTAAGAAATGATGGTTTTAATGGTGGTTCATGATGGTTTCAATGATGGTTAATAAATGATGGTTTTAATGATGGTTAATGATAGGTAGTGACGATTAATAAATGATGGTTTTAATGATGGTTAATGATAGTTAGTGATGGTTAAGAAATGATGGTTTTCATGATGGTTAATGATAGTTAGTGATTGTTAATAAATGATGGTTTTAATGATGGCTAATGATAGTCAATTTTGGTTAATAAATGATGGTTTTAATGATGGTTAATGATAGTTAATGACGGTTAATAAATGATGTTTATTGATGGTTAATGATAGTTTGTGATGGTTAATACATGATGGTTTTAATGATGGTTAATGTGGTTAATGTGGCTAAAGCAAGGTCAGAAACAACTACCATGACTGGGAATGGTAAACAAAGCACCTATAAAAAAGGTGATGACTGGGGGATGGTTTTTGGCATTGTTTTAACCACATTTAATAAGACTATGAACCTACTTAATGAGGTTGAAACTATAAAATTTACTGTGTCTGAAACCATGAACAATCATAATGGTCCCATAATTTAATGAAGTTAATTGGCTGTGTCTGAAAATTGGCTACCCCCAATTCTAATGGATTATCATCAGTTTCTCTTTCTGAATTTCGGGTTACGACTGTGTGCATAGCCTATTGTCAAACGAAGCCAATTGGAAGATCGTGGAAAATACATATGTTTAGATCAAATCAATTCAGCTATGCCACAGTTGCCGATTTCAGGTGTGAGGAACGGAGAGACACCAGGTTCCAGGTCAAATTTAGGGTACGAAATCAATTGGTTCCATTGGGAAACCTTGGGATTATCATGCGATATAATAGTGATATAACTTTTATGAGATAACCACAAGTTTCTTTGGATAATTAGGATCTAAAATCAACCAAAAAATTGCAATATGCTGGGGATATCCTTGGGTTGAATCCTGAAAAAACCGGTGTCATCAATCATTGGCCGCTGGGAAATCCACACAACTATAGCCTCTGGTATTGACTGTTACAGTTTGCGAACTGGAAGCCATGGCCATAGAAATAGTGGATTTACTCAGCTGTAAAATGGTGATTTTCCATAGTTATGTAAGCGTTTCCCAGAGGGTAAATGGGAGATTTTCCGTTGCCACATTTGATCGCAAAGGGAGATCGAACTTCCTGATGACATCGAACGTTTCCTACCAAACAAGTCTCCCTTTTCTGCGATCTCTGGGTTCCCGGGTTCCCATCATGATTGGGTCAGATATCACCAGTTTCCTTACATTTCCGGTGTGCATCCCCCCTACTCATCAAACTCAATATTTCAATCTCAATACTTGATGCTTAGATCTTCAATGATCAATGGTATCAAATCCCCATGTTTCTTGCTTTTCTTGCTTACATCACCATATTTTCTCGTTGAATCATCTCAAATCCCCAATATTTTCACGCTTAATCCACCAAAAATTACCATGTTCCCAAAAAAAGTCGGATGTCTTCAGCCCGCCCCAGGTACAACTCCAGCAGCCTCGGCAGCAACGCTGCCAGCGTCGCCGTGGCCACGGGCCTCGGCGCCAGCGACGTCTTGGGAAGGGCCATGGTGATCCACGACTCCACGGGGGCGCGTATCGCCTGCGGCATCATCCAGCCGGCCGGGGAAATGCTAGGAAAATGGGACTTTGAAGCCATGAAAAATGGGGATATAACGGGTATATAACCAACATTAACCAACCAAAATGGTATAGTTTATTGCTTGATTATGGGTGATTATGGATGATTTCTAGGTCAATCAACGGAATGGTTAATGGATGGGTTAATGAGACGATTTATGGGATGATTGGTGGATGGTTAATGATACGATTAATGGGATGATTAATGGATGGTTAATGAGACGATTAATGGGATGATTAATGGATGATTAATGGACAATGAATGGATGGTTTACTAGGTCAATCAACTGGAGTAGAAACTGATCCGAACTAGTCTTGGATGGTATAGGATTATCTACTCACCAGCTAAGAATTTGTCATTTTGTGCAGGGTATCTAAGATTGGCCATGTGAGTAAGAATGACAATTTGGGATTTGAATGGGAAAATGACAGGAAAGCACTCTATTTGGACAATCAAAAACCCAGGGTTTCCTGTAGGTGTTCCACAGAAATCCAAAACCTCCATTGAGTGAAGGGGGGAGGTTGAAGTCCATGTTTCTTGGAGAAATGGTGATTCTTAGTAAAGCTTGTCTAATTTTGGGGCTTGGGGATAGGGATGATAGGACAAGATAAGATCAGTCCTTCAGCTGGTGCTGGGAAGATGCTGGGCAAACTGACGATATGATATAAGCCAGTTCCATTATATAATTGTGTAGCTATTTATTCCGAATAGTTATTTTCATATAGTTCTTCTCTATTCCAGGGATGATACCAGTAGTACCGCACAAGGCGGTGGCGGAAGTTTCAAAAATAGGAAACCTATAGGAGAGCTTGGTTGTTGTGAATGAGGGATGGCAGAGGGAAGCCACTGATGGACCGAAAGGTGCTTGAGGTCTCCTCTCTTTCTCTCTCTCTTTCTCTGACTATCTACTTACCTACCAGCCTATCTTCTATGTATCTATCTATCTATCTATCTATCGATCTTTCTATCTCTCTCTTTCTCTCTTTCATCTAATTACCTATCTACCTATCTACCTATCTACCTATCTACCTATCTACCTATCTACCTATCTACCTATCTACCTATCTACCTATCTACCTATCTACCTATCTATCTATCTATCTATCTATCTATCTATCTATCTATCTATCTATCTATCTATCTATCTATCTATCTATCTATCTATCTATATCTCTCTCTCTCTCTTTCATCTGTCTATCTGTCTAGCTGTCTACCTGTCTGACTATCTATCTATCTATCTATCTATCTATCTATCTATCTATCTATCTCTCCATCTATCGATCTATTGTAGTTGTAGTTGTAGTTGTTGTGGTTGGTTGTTGTGGTTGGTGTAGTGTTGTTGTTGTTGTTGTTGTTGTTGTTGTTGTTGTTGTCGAGGTTAGGGTAGTTAAGTTAGTGAAGTTAGTTAAGTTAGTCAAAAATAGTTAAGTTAATCAGTGTCTACTTTTTCGACATCTTCACGTCAAAAAAGGCTCAAAACCGTCAGTTTTTTACACTTTTGACTTCGAAATGTGCTTCGCGCCACAACGGCGTGCACTTTTTCGACACTTTTTCGACATGTGAACCTCCAAAAGTGGTCCGAGACCGTCAGTTTTTAACACTTTTGACTTGGAAATGTGCTTCGCGCCACAACGGCGTGCACTTTTTCGACATCTCAACTTCCAAAAGTGGTCCGAACCTGGTGTGTTTTGTACATTTTGACTTGGAAATGCGCTTCGCGCCACAACGGCGTGCACTTTTTCGACATCTCAACTTCCAAAAGTGGTCCGAGAATGGTGTGTTTTGTACATTTTGACTTGGAAATGTGCTTCGCGCCACAACGGCGTGCACTTTTTCGACATCTCAACTTCCAAAAGTGGTCCGAACCCCTTGTGCTTTGTACATTTTGACTTGGAAATGTGCTTCGCGCCACAACGGCGTGCACTTTTTTGACATCTCAACTTCCAAAAGTGCTCCGACCATGGTGTGTTGTTTTGTACATTTTGACTTGGAAATGTGCTTCGCGCCACAACGGCGTGCAATTTTTCATCTCTCGTCTGGCCAGCTGGCTCCGCACCCGCCGCTTTAGCAAGCCTACTTTTCGACCCTCCGGAGCCACAAATCATTGGAAAAACACAGTGTTTCTCGACTTTCCTACCTTTTCGCGCATCTGCATCTTCTTTCTTCTGACTCTTTCTCTTCTCTGATCTTCTCTCTTCTAATCTGTCTCTTCTCTCTGCCTCTGCCCTGCTCTGCTTTTCATCTGTCCATATTGCCGGAAGTTTGACTTCTAAACTTCCTTCGATTAACCCATATGTTCCCATAGTTCCATGTTCCGTATAGTGACTGCCTTTGAACATCAATAATTATTGTGGACCCAGCTTCATTTGTCCTCATATAATCATCATTTTCCGAGTGATCGCCTACATGCAAAACCAATATATCGTTCACAATATTTAGGATATTCCCATAATTGGTCATATTCCAAAAATTAGTGAACAATATCTAAGTTGGTTGATGTTGGTTGTATACTAAATATTGTGAACAATGACTAATGAATATCCCATGATAACCTCCCATCAATTTCCCATTCCCCCACAAAAGGACGTGCAGAAAACCAGTAACAATTTGTGGCCCCATATCCCAACTTTTTGGGTTTTGAATTTCCCACGGTTTTAGCCATAAAAATAGCCCCTTAAGTCACCATGGTATTTCCCATTCTGGGTTGATGTTGGCTGTATACCCCATTGAGTTCTGTTGGTTTCTGTGAATCCTATTCGATAGCCATGGTTTTACCTATAGAAATAACATTGATTATCAGTTATCCACTTTTTAAAATCCACTATAAACACATCATATCCCCATTATAATATATTATAACCATTGTTGAATACTATCCAGTGGTTAGGAGGGAGCTAAGGAGCTATGGGTATTCATATTCCCTATTACATAGGGAGCTAAGGAGCTACCAAGAGTTTCCTAACCACATACTTGTTAAAAGCCATTCATAGTTATACCGTTATACCCATTGTTAAAAGCCATGAAAAACCATACGGTAACGACATTTAAATATGTGGAGCGCGGGCCAGACCACGAGGCCCAGGAGGTAGTATAAAATACCAGTTCGTATATTTAAATGTAGTTACCGTGGTATAAATATATAGATATTTGATGTGCATTTTATAATGTAGGGTGTGTGTAATATACTATAATATAATATAATATATATATATATATTACCTATGCAGTTATAACATTTTTGCAGTAAAAAAGACTATGGTTATCTCCATCAAACTCACCCACCTCAACTGCTCCCATCCCCAAGTCGAATCCCACGCCAGGCCAATGTGCCCAGTTTCGCAGCCTATCCTGGCTACACGGGCAACCTGGCCACTGCAGGCTGGGAGTGGAGAATAACCATATGATGCTAACCCTCCAGTAAACTAACAGTTTGCGAACTGGAACATGGCCCATAGAAATAGATGTTTTTTCCTATTAAAGATGATAGATGGTGATTTTCCAGTTCGCTATGTTGGTTTACCAGAGGGTATATTGAAATATCCCAGCTGTACATGGAATCTCCTGAGCAACAAGGGTTTTACCCACTTTGACGACCGAAACATCCCTGGGAGCTTGGAGGCCCCCACTGGTGATGTTGGTTTATGACCCCATGAACTAGAGTGATATGCTTAGTCATATCCCATTTTTGGTATGGGGTTGGTGATGGGATATCCCAAGATCGGTTTATGAACTATAGTATGAATGATTAGCCTCTGGTAAACATACAAAAAACTATGGAAATCATCATTTTTACTGGATAAATCAACTATTTCTATGGCCGTGTTCAATAGCAAACTGTTAAACTACCAGAGGGTATATCTCCCATAAACTGACCTATCCCGTTCCTTCTGTGCGCCAACTTCGCTATGCTTCGGGGGCCTCACCGTGGCAGGAGTGATGTCGGTGCAAGCAACCGGCACCACTCAAACCTTGTCGTGGGTTCTCACTGCTGGACTTGACACGCAGTGCACCGACCTCCGGCTGCAGCAGCTGCATGGTGCATGTTTCACCCCTGTTGGTGAGTTCATGGAACATGGAAAACGATGCTGAAAACCTATGGGAAAACCCCAGGAAAATCGTTTACAAATGGTTGATGTTCCACATCTAGGTTGGTTTGCCCTAGGGTAGCTCATGAGGATTTAACCATTTAACCATTTTTTGTAATGTTCATCAACAAAAATATGTGTTTAATGGAAGTAATCGATAAATAATGGTTGGTTGATGATTGTGTGTGTGTGTGGGGTAAAAAGGGTTGTATGACTCAATACACTGGAGCTTATCACAATTGATGGCTGGGAAACCTTGCGAAGCAACCAGTGGATGGGTCTGTTGAACAGCACCGAAGACTTTCGGAGAATCATCTTCCAGATGCCGAAGGGGTTTCATGTTGATGTTATTGCCGTATTTCCACCAAGATCATTTCCATTTTCAATGATCTGTGTTTTCTTCTGTTTTTTGAGGGAAAAACGCACATCAAATCACATATCAGAAATCCTAGATGCTATACATGTCCTCTGAAAAAGCCTCTATCTGATGATAGATGATATACGCAATTATAGACATGTTTCATATTTCTCGATTCCTTTGATCTGCATGTCCTCCAATGATCCAGGGCACCTGTACGGCCCCGAATTGCTGCGGCGTGCACATCCACACGGGCATGGACTGCAGCGATGTGCCAAGTCATGAAACAGCTGGGGGTCACATATGGGGATGGGTCAAGTTACCTATGAAATTACCATATTTGGGAGAATAAACATCAAGCTATACCAGCTATGGTAGGGTACCTAGGGTGTCAAGTCATGGTAGTACCCCCAGTTGTCATCCAAGTCATGGATGACCATGGCTTAGTATTGAAACAACCGTGGTGACGACTGGGGATCCCTCATTTTAGGAAACCCCCATATCAGTACATATCAGATGGATGATTAGATTGGGAATTAATCAACTATAAATGGAGATTAAATGCCGATATATAATATATATTATATATACTGATATGTGACCATTGGTATGCCAGAAATGGGAATTCATCAACCATAAATAGAGACCATTGGTATTGCACGGAATAAATGGCCAAATTGGTATTTATCAATCAGAGACTTCACTAGTGATGTCCCATTGCCTCAGGAGTTTCCGCAAGATAAATGCCCAAACATCTGGATGAAACAAGTAACGACTTCAATCTGGCGTTACCGGAATGATGCTTCGTAGGGGGAATCATCCAACTAATTGGGATATTTCATGGCTATAGATTCTGGGGGGGGGCCGAAGGCGGCCAATCCGAGTCTGGCTTTGCGCAAAGCGATCGATGTGGAATTTATGGAGGGAATTCTGGGGGAACGGACTACGGACGAGGATCACTCGGGCTGGTATCAACCGTAAGATTCTGACCAAATTTGTAACTCCCCCATGACTGGGGATAGTGAACAGTTAGTTTTTTTTTGAGGTGGGGCTGTGATCAACTTGCGTGAATCGTAGGTGTGTATGATTCATGTTTGTGGCCATACATGGGGAAAGGTATGGTATACACCAACAAGCATTGGGTCATGCGCAGATTTCAGATGATACCATAGATGTTAAGATTTAAACTTTCATGTTGAGGGGGTTTACCAACCGTTTTTGTTATATAATTGAATAAATCGACCTAGTAAGTGGATAAAACTTCCTACATTGTGAAGGCAAGTTTGATCATCGGAAATTTCAGGACTTCATCATCACAAATGATAGGGTTTACCGCGGTGAATGGCAAGGTGATGGTTATGTCTTCCAAATTTCATGGGAAAATGATAACCTGGTTGGTGGTTTGGAACATTTGGATTATTTTCCATATATTGGGAACAATAATCCCAACTGACTTTCATATGTTTCAGAGGGATTGAAACCACCAACCAGTAACCTAAGGCAACCCCCCCAAAAAAAAATCAAGTTTCTTGCACTTTCTGAGGTGCGTCATAGACCCAATTATGAAGTTATATCATCCACCCGGAAGTATAGGTGATTTGGGGTAAACATGGGTACTGTCAGTCACCATTTATAGTTGATTTCTTCAGCGATAAACACCTTTTTTATTTTTCGGATGTCCGAGCTAACTATGATGACACCTGAGGGGCAACATCTCCATCATATCCCATTTATGGTTGATTTTTGATCCCATATATCTCGGTCAATCAACTGGATGGAGAATAGAAACTAACCAACCATAAAGGGGATATTCCATGGGTATATAAAACCAAAACGGGATTAATGGATGATTAATGGATGGTTTACTAGGTCAATCAACTGGATGGGTAGAAACTAACCCTTTAGTCTTGGATGGTATCAATGGGATTATCTACGTTCACCAGCTAAGATTTTTTTTGCAGGATATCTAAGATTGGACATGAATTATCCAATGAAGTTGCTGGTTGTATCACCATGAAATATCCCATGCTTTATCCCCGGGAGTTACGCCCCTGAAATCCCGTCTTTTCCTTGGTAAAATCACGGGATTTCCTATGGTTTCCTGTTTTTCCATCATATCACTATTCTACCACGAGTATATCACTATTATCACTTTTGTATCATGATATGATGATATATATCAATAATTATATATTAGGATTATCAGAGAACCATCATACAATATTATACACTAGTTATATCACTATTCTATTGTATAACTATTTTATCATTATGATATCACTATGAAATTCCTCCGCCACTGAGTCTAGTACCATTGGTGGCCACTTCTATGATTCCACTGCCTTGACCACAGATCCTTGGCTCACCATCACGCACCTTGGCGAACGATGCTTCACTGAGTCAATAAAAGTACCCAACAGAGCTATTAAGAATACCAAGTCTGATTGGTTTTTATATGGGATTATACTATATACCTATTAGATGACCCATAGTAGGGAAACCTACTGACCAACCAGTATCGTGAGATGGGATAGGGGAACATTTAATGGCTCAGTTGCTTACAAGGGGGTTGTACCAGCTGGTCTATTGATGTTTGGGATGAGCTACTTGGGGTACCTATTAACCAACCAGTAGAATGGGATGGGATGGGGTGTTTTTGGATGATTAAACTGGCAAAATCTGAGAAAAAGCGAAGCGTAGGTCCCCCATATATCCACTAATCCCAACTGCACCGCGAAGCAAAGATGCACCACTTTTGAGACTTTTAAGAAATTTTTTTTAAGAAACCCCCACAAGAATAAAAACACAAATCCTTCTTCATTTGTTTGGATTGTTAGATCCTTGTCTTTGCTGATTCAATACCTATCGTTGATGGTTAAATCACCTGTAAATGATGGTTAAATCCCTACAAATAATGGCTAAATAACCTATAAATGATGCTTAAAGCCTTACAAGTGATGGTTAAATCACCTAAAAATGATGCTTAAATCTTTATTTTCTTGGGGCTTTCTTTCATTACTATAGCCATGGTGCAGCCGACAACCAGGTACGACGCCAGCACCATGCCCAGCGTGATGAAGGACATGGGGATGACTTACCAGGCAGTATGAAGAAATGGGATGTTAATTTATGGTGATTTTCCATGGTGATTTATGGTAATTTAATGGTGATTTTAATGGTGATTTAGTGGATTTTAATGGTGGTTTAATGGTGATTTTCCATGGGATGTAATGGGATTTATCCTCTGGTAATTTGTTTCATGGCTATTGAAGCCATGGCCGAAAGTTCGTTGATTTGCCTCAAAAAAAGGATGGTGATTTTCCACTTCGCTATGTTTACCAGAGGGTATAGCAACCCCAAAATAGTATTAATTTACCATCAAATACCAATATCAATAATATGGATGCTATTTTTGAATAGCCATGAATCCATGAATAACCATGAATAATAGTACCAATGCAAAATACATAATCTGGTTGATGGTTTGGAACATGAATTTTATTTTCCCCAGTAGGAACTGGATGATGATCCAATCTGACTTTCACTCCATCATTTTTCAGGGCGGTAGGTCAACCACCAATTAGGATAGATATATAAAATGGTTGCTCATCAACCATAGGCACCATATGGATATGTAAAACTGGCTCATATCTAATGTTTTTCAGGGTAGGTCAACCACCAGCCAGATTGATGTTCCATCGAAACATTGCATCCTTGTTTCACACAAAAATCGGCATCTTTTTGGTGGGAATTATTGCAATGAAAATTAATATGCACATATCTGGGTAAATTATAACGACCTCACTGCGACCTCACTGGAATCATGGTTAATAAGGGAAATCATCCCCAAATGGCCTTAATTCAGGTTAGTGAAATATTACAATTTACCCAAACATATCAATTAGAAACGAAAGCTAATGGGATTTCTAATGGGTCTCCGGAAAGATAGAAAGGTAGAATCCGATTGTGGTAGTTACCTATCCATTTCAATCTTTCTGGGGGCGTTCAACCTGGCGTATGTTGGCGCAAGACGATCCCCGTTAAAATTCGACCAAACTCCAAACGATTTAGTAATGTGATAGTGACCCAACAAGAAATAAACCCCGAAATCACCATGTTCATGGGTAGTACATGTATAAACCATTCCCAAATGGTAGGTTTATGATTGGGTTTCCAGAAAATTCCCCCCAATCAGAATTTTAGAGCGGAATATGCTGATTTTGCAGGACAAAGCCTTGTATTTTGCTGCTATCCTATTCCCAGACAAACTCACCATAGAAAATACCCGGCTAGACAAAAACACCTATCACTCACCTGGACCTTGAAAGTTTACTCAACCGCTTGAAGCCACTTATCGGTGATAGCCACAAGGAGAAACTGAACTAGGTCAATATTGGATGGGTAATTTAATACTTCGAATGGACGAGAAATATTCGATTCGACCGCCAATCATTTCTCTTGAGCTTCAACATGAGACCGCGGAATTTCGATACCTCGAGTACCCTATTTTTACAGAAGGGGATACACTTTTTCATTTGCCGTCATCTCGCAAGCCTATTTGTATAGTCTTTATGTTTCATTATTAACATTAGTTGCATTAAAATTGTATTAAATCTAAATTTTCCTTACCTGTTTGTATCTATTTGTATTAACATTAGTTGCATTAGTAAAACTTCTTGCTCCCACCAGTCAGGGTCAGGGACAGGGCGATGATCGGACCTTTTTTTGTCGTCCGCTGCGCGGTATCAATAGGATTATCTACCAATTAACCAGCTAAGAATTGGTCATTTTTTGCAGGATATCTGGCAGATTGGCCATGTGAAATGGCTGATGATACCTCTGGCGAGCTCGAACATCCACCAACTATAGATGATTTTTCTAGCTATAAACCTCCACTAGCTGGATTTTCCAGCTCACCAAATTTGATTACCAGAGGGTCATATCTATTATATCCCCATTATATCCCAGTTATGCTTGATTCTAGACTTCACTGATCCTATGAAATTGGCACACAAAAGCGCTACATATTATCCCATCATTTCCCGTATAACAAAATGGTGGGGTTCCTAAAATGGGGGATCTCCAAAAACATGGGCATAAAAACAATAAAATCGTCGAATTTTGGATGATTCGGGGTGCCTTACCATTTGAAAAACTCCAATGCACCCCCCTTACAAGGTGGTGCCCCCATAGTTATAAGATGTTATAAGTTGGTTTATAATCCCCATTAACTGTAACTATAGATATAACCCCCTAATCAACCCTAGTTCTTGGACTTATTTGCACCAACTTAGCGATTCCGAACTGGGGCACCACCTTGGAGACCAACTTTTGGTTCCCAGGACGTAGCGGTTCAAAGCGGCAAGACGGCTTCGGAGATCGAGGGTCGCACCATGGTGTCACTTGCACGATTCAAAGGGTAAGGTCCTGGGTTGTACAGAATTGCCCAGGGCTATGTGGGGTACCCTCTGGTAATTTAACATAGCTATGGAAAATCACCATGATTAATGGGAAAATCCACTATAAATGGTCATTTTCAATAGCTATGTTAGATTACCAGAGAGTAAAATGGGTAATTATTATACACAATATTATATGTATATATATATACATAGCCACAAGAACTATGTGAAGCAGCTATGATTAACCAACCACAATCGGGATGTAATAAGATTTCATTGGGATACGGCTATATTAAACCAACCATGTCCTAAAGCCCTGTTGCTTGATGATGAGTTCAGGGATTATACTAAGCATTAGGGAAGATCACAGTCCTTGAACGGGGAAACCGGTTCTGAACCAACCAGTAGAAAGGGACGTACACAGGCTTTCAAAAGCTGCTCATGCGGGGTTATACACATAGGATTGCTGGGAAAACCCGGGAAGGGTACGCTGGGTATTACCCTCTGGTAAACTAACATAGCTATGGAAAATCACCATGTTCAATGGGTAAATCCACTATAAATGACAATTTTCAATAGCTATGTTAAATTACCAGAGGGTAAATATATGTTTATATAGTAAATAGACTTACATAGAGTTACTTGGCGGTTCACCCCAATTCATAAGTGATCTCCTGCTGTTGATGGCTTCAACAAGCAGTGGCATAGCAACTTCAAGTTCCATAAGTATGGGAAGCTCCCTTGGGTGGTCGATAGGTGCTACGATCTCCAGTCAGTCCCAGGAAGCCAATACAGGCACCACAGGCTCTTCAGACTCAGGCTCACAAGAAGCGAGCCAAAACAGAGCTACAACCTCCAGCCAGTCGCATGCAGGCAATATCACAGGCTCTTCAGGCTCTGGACAAACAGAAGAGCAGAATGCTGAAGCCATGCTGACCGCCACAACAGAAGGGCAGGAGAACACACTTCCTCCACAATATAGGCGTTCTGTTTTAGTCTGATTTTTTTTTTAGTGTTGGCTGATGCTATTTGGGCATTGCAGTTTCACTGGCAACATTTGGGTGGGTTATAATCCCACTTGTAACTAGGGAAAGTAGGCTTAGTGCAGTTATAACAGGGGTTACAACCCACTTCCGTGGTTATTTGATGGTTTTTCATACAGTCATACACCTTGACTTTTTTTTGATTTCGCGAACCAAATGGGATGTAAAATGGGATTGAATGGTATAGTCCATGAGCCATATCATCTGGGTAAATTATAACGACCTCACTGGTCTCCCTCACTGGAAATCATAGTTAGTATTGGAAATCATCCCCAAATGGCCTTAATTCAGGTTGGTGAAATATTATAATTTACCCAGATATCAGGAGATGTATAGCCAACGATGTGATAGAGCCAACCATATTTATGATTAGATGGGGTTACACGGGAGTTTGACACGGTTGTGGGGATTACGGTGGTTGATGCTGCAACAGGGTCATATGGACTACATGCATGGATTTTCCGGAGAAAACTTGGACGGATATATGTATTAATACTCATGTATGGTTAATAATCACTAATTTATTAGTAATTATGTATGATTATGTAATTATTGTGCCATTCTTGCTGCTAGAATAGCTTATTTTTGCTGAGAATTCCGGAAAAGATCTGGGTAGATTATAGTGACCGAACAAGGAAAATCGTCTGGCCTCTTTGCCCACCTTTGGTCAATGCCCATTTTCTGTCGTAAGATCTGTTTTTGGTCAAGTCTCAACCTTGATGATTTTTTGATGGTCACATCCCGGTGTTTGGCTGGTGACATCCAAATGTCATCCAACTTCACATGTGAGATGGGTATGTTTCCAGTGATTATTGACTATATTTCCCTCTAAATGAAATATTGTCATCAGCACGACGTCACTAGGAATGCTGGTTTATGGGTAATGATCCCAAACAGGAAGGGCCCACCCAAAGAATGAGTTGGTTGAAGAAATGCCATGGAACAATCGAATTTAATAGCTATATCTACCATAAACCGTAGTTGGCATAGTTATACAGCAACTTTATTATCTAGGCGGGCCCTTCCTCAGTAAAGTGTATGTATGGATGTATAATATATATATATAATTATATATACATATATATTTACAAAAATGTCATCCAGAATATTCCAGATATATTCCAATTAATTGTTGATTATATCCCCATGTTTCATGCTTTGCCCCCATATTTCGATTGTTAGAGTACTACTGTTCTTGGTTAAACCCCCATTTTTGCTGCTTCAAGCAGCATGTGTGATGTTTAAGTCACAATATGGGTATGGGTCAAAATTGGGTATCCCAATAATCAGATGCGTAATACTAAAAATAGTCCATTTAATTAATCTGTGGTCCCCCAGGTCTTGAAATTTTATGACTAGGGTATCTAGGTATTGGTCAAGTTTTTTCTGCTATTAAAGTCTTTCTAATATTGGTTTTTCATTTGTCACACTTAAGTCACGATATGTCGATGGTAGGGCTACCCCCTTGCATAATCCATTTTCCTTTCGGACTTTCCCATGAAATCAACCATCCAGCGAGCAGTTCCCTAGGTCAATCAACTGGATGGGTAGAAACTAATCCGAACTAGTCTTGGATGGTATCAATGGGATTATCTACAAATTCACCAGCTAAGAATTTTCATTTGTTTGCAGGGTATCTGGCAGATTGGCCATGTGAAATGGGATATAATATAACTTTGTGATTTGACTTTGTGATATTTTGTGATGACTTTATGATATAACTTTATTACAAATTCATTTGATAATTACGATCTAAACTCCATTAAATCCCATTAAACCACCATTTTCCCATTGTTTTTCCTATGGTTTTTAGGGTAAACTCAACCACTACTGTTCCATCCAACTCGATGGATTTCGATCAGCCAAGGATCCACGACTCCACGGGGGCCAGGATCGCCTGTGGCACGATTTCGCTGGACGCGATGACACCCACCACGACGCAGCTGATCGACGCTGCTTGGTGGGCGGTAGGACCCGTAGGACCCGTAGGACCCGTAGGATATGGATGGATATGGGGGGTACCAACACATGGATGGTTTATTTCATGGAAAATCCGAAAATATGAGAACTGCGGGTACCCCCCATGGATTGGACACCTCCATTCTGTTTTACTTCAATCCTGGACATCAAAAATCCCGAAAGAAATGGTGATATTGTTTTTTTTACCGCCTGAAAAATCGGAATCCTTACATATCCTTGCCATTGTTGCCCAAAGAAACTGGCGGTTAAAATATATGTTTTTATAGGTTCCCTTTTTTTTACCCATATGTATTATATAACATGTACCTTCAAGATTGGGAATTACCCTTTCAAATCGAGACTTCACCACTTAAAACCTTGGATTGAACCTTCTGATTTGGTGCCTATTGGGAGGTCGATGCCCACTGGGAGCTTTTCATAAGCCAGTCATGAAGATGGGTTGATGATGGTGAATCACCCTGAAAGATATCAGAAGCTTATCATATTCCGATGATGGTGCCATGATATCGTCATTCTGTTGCCATGACTCCTGTGTTTTGCACAATGTCCATCGAATTTTTTGGAAGCCTGAATGATGGGAGCAATCTTCCCAGCTGGCTTTCTTATGGGATTAGTGTATGGGAGTAGTGTGGAAAGGCGGGTCCCATACTTGGGGGTCCCTGAACTTTCCACGAACAATGTTCACCACCCAAAAACCTGTCCAAGATTGACGCTGCTGCTGGTCCCGCTGTGTGGAGCATCGCCTTCTTGGTGGCCCTCATCATCAGGTGGACCTGTGGAGCCAATAGGGCTTTGGTCAAGTGGAACCACTGGTTCTGCAAAGCTTGGATGGGTAGAAAACCAAAAGAAAGATGCTATGGATGGAGATGTTGTATAACCCAGCCAGCCAAAGGTGTGTGTTTTTTTCCGGATCTAAGATTGACCATGGAACTGTCGGCATGGAAACGAGCTATCTTGCGAATCAATGTCGGCATGGATCAATCGTTGATTCGTTGATGTTTCAGGGTGCAACCCATTGGGCCCCTTAGATATCACAGCGAAATCGCGATTGGTTGGTGAAGATCAGTCCAATTTCACTGTGGTGTATGGCAATTACATGCAATTACAACTATAGTGAAACTAACTAACTATGGCAAAACAAACTGTGAAACTAAACATACTGAATTACAACATAGTGAAACTAGTAACAATTCACTATGTTTTTTTTCACCAACATTCGCATCACTGCGGGCCCCACCTTGCCATGAATGTAGTTGTGTATGTCGAGAGATTGTGTTTTCGAAAAAATGGGATTGTTTTTCTATGATGGTTTACTAGACATTTTTTAAGCCATCCCCTGTTTATCATGGTTTATGATGGGAATCATGGTTTATGATGGTTTACCAAACATTTACCATGGTCCCCTGATTTATATTTTTTATGGTTTATGGTTTACTAAATCATGGTTTATGATTTTTTGTTGGTCCCCTGAATCTGAAATCTTGAACCCATCGTCATATGATGATCGGCATCTCCCCAGAAGGCATGACAGACACGAACCAGGTACAATCCTCCAAATGCAAATGTGTAAGTGTTTGCATACGTTTGGCGAACTCTCCCACAAGTGCCAGATTTCAGACTTGTGAAGCTAGTTATGCTGATCAAATAAGGGGCTGGGTGACCTCTGGTCACCTCTATTTTTAGCAGCAAATATTAATGTCACAGGAACATGCTGGTATCAATGCAGAAAGCCACCATCAGTGTTCCAACAGGAGTCTAGGGAGGTCATCCTTGTTTCCCCAATACCGAGTGTCGATGGACCTTTTTTTTTTGGAGATCTCTAAGGTCTTGTGGTTTCCACACATTGACTTTTTGGGAGGATGATGACTATTTTATATGTAGTGAGCTGGTCTGAAAGTGGGATACCCAGAAATCTATCGGTTGGTGATCAGATGTCTTTATTAAAATAATCATTTTGGGGTGGTATACCCCATTTTCAGACAGACCCATAAGTAGATGTCTTTTTCCCATTGGTTGGTTGATTAATAGAGGGGTTTGAACAAACCCCTTGAACAACAGGTTTGTTTGATGATAGATGGTATACCAGCTCCCGGCCCCTCTACTTTTACCAAAAGGACATTATTGGACCCATATATCTCCATAAACCAGACGGCTTCTGGGGAACTTTTGCAGGTGGTGATGGCCTACAAAAGAATCGGCGAAAGGCGAGTGAAAGGCAAAATGCAACATGTAAAGATTCACCTACCCCTGCTTGAACAGAACCGGTATATACATATATATATAATTATATGTATCTATATGTGTGTGTGTGTCTATACTGTATAGGTGATATGTGTTCATCAGTAGCACTCTCGAGGAGGGGGATGCCTAACTGAAGTTCCCTGGCCAACACGTTGCCAGAGTCTTCGGTGTTGAGCCGAACGGCTCGATTTTTTCAGTACCGAAGCGTGCTGAGGACAGATTATGAGGGCCAGGCCATTTGAAGGCAAGCAAAGAGGTGGGATAATCATTGGATGTCCCCCAGATGGTGCGGATGTCATCATCACTCATGCCCAGATGGCCACTTTCATTCATGCCACCCGAGCAGTTTGAGAATTCTCTGTCACACACCAGAGGGTTGGGTAAATATGGGCCCAAAAAAAGGGGCAACCGAAGTACATCGACACCAAAAAAATGCAGGTGTCATTTTGATTCTCATCATATCCATACTTTCTGGGAGTATGTGACAGTTGCTTAGAAAGTTGCTGCCAGCGGCTGCCAGCCGCATGTGGTTAGCTTCTGAAAGGTGCCGAAAAAAGTTGAGCAAGCCAGAACACAGTGGTTCACCTCTGAAATTAGGCTGTTTAATCAACAAAAATGGTGATTGAGTATGATTGAGTGTGGTTTTAATGTGATTCTAATGGCAATATAATGGAAATATAGTTGCATATAATGGGATCATGCAGGTTTGATGGGCTTATCATGGGATATGTCATTCATAGTGATAGAACCACCAATGTCATTGGATAATTAGGCATCTAAAATCAACCACAACTGGGAGCGATGGGGCTATTATAAGGGGTATATACTAGCTACTACCCTGCAGTGTCATCAGGTCTATGGCAAGCTGGGAAATTTATCAGTGGGACAATCAACTATAAATTGAGGCTTTTCCAGCCATGTTTTATTACTAAAGGGTAAACTATGTTTAGTGGGATATTCTACGGGGAGTGGGGATAGAATGAAGATGTAATGGGATATATGATATTTAATATGACTTGAGTTTGTCTTTTCTTTCTGGGTCTTCCCCAATCTATTGACATTGTAGTGGGTTTGACAAACGATGGCGGATACCACATTTTTTGCTGGTTGACGGGTGGAATGATGATCAATAGGGAGATTCTTGGGTGCCCTATTTTTCCGGGAAAAGGTAATCTGGAACCCCGGAAAATTGCAGTCAGTTCCCAAGTCCGGAAGGTAATCTTCCACACTGAAAATTGTGGTTTCAAGTCAGTTGCCAAGCTGATATCAAAGGAAAACAAGCTATTTGGACGTGAAAACCATGTTGCAAAGAACTCGGTCAAAAGCCATATACACTCCCATCCCCCTAACAAAAACCATTCAATTCGGTGCTGCCATGAATAAATTTTGTATACTTCACCAGGCTTTTTCGGGGCCAGGGGTTGTACTATGGACTCCTCCACTGAAAAATCCCCCTCCACAGTGGTTGATGAGGGATAGGGGATTTGGTAATAAACATAAGAGAGAAGGATGTTTGTTACCAAGCCATCGTTGCAGAATGCACGCAGAATGCTGTGGTGGTATAATCCCGTTGCATTATGGATATGCTGACAATGTCGCATACCCCCCAAATAGCCATGTTAATAGTCAATATGACGTTCTAAGCCAGTGGATTTGTAGGGATTTTCCCCCAAAATGTTCAGTCCCCCATTGCATCCACTAAAAAAATATCCCATTTGTTACCCATTACATCCCATTCCACCCCCTGAAAAACTGTTAACATGGATGATTTACACTCTGGTAAACTAACATAGCGAACTGGAAAATCACCATTTTCTAGCTGGGTGAATCAACTATTTCTATGGTCATTTTGAATACAAGGTGGTGCCCCCTAGATAGCTACGTTGGTGCAAATAACTCCAATTTCACTATGGTTTTTGTTGGTGATATATCTACAATTAATGGAATTATAAACCAACTTATAACTTGGGGGGCACCACCTTGTAGCTATGTAACAAATTACCAGAGGGTACAAGAGTTGTTTCAGTGCCCATTTTCGTTCGACTCCCGGGGTTTAAGGGTGCAGCGGCTTCCATGGAAGCAGGTTTTTTGGGGGTACCCTAAAGGATTGAAGCAACCCAATATTGGGAACTGGTTGGTGGTTTGGAACATGAATTCTATGACTTTCCATGAAAAGTTGGGAATTTCATCATCCCAACTGACGAGTTGTCATATTTTTCGGAGGGGTAGGTCAACCACCAACCAGGGGAATGACCATTTTTTTTGATACCAAACATGAATAAAAACGATCTCTAGATGAATGGGGGAACCCAAAAGTTGGCACTTAAAGCGGTTTTTGTTTCTTTTCAGCATCGTGGCAGTTTCAGCGTTTGAAACAGAGGATTCATACCTAAAGCGCCCCAAAAATATGGGAATGTCTAATATTGTCTGTATCTTTGGTGAAGACCAAATATATATATATAATGGGAATGTCTATATTTTTGGGACCAAGAATCTAAGATTTTCATGGACACCTAAAAACCTTGAAATCTGGCGTTCGCCACCATCCTGGCCCGAGGATGTGCAGACATGCTGCTGCAAAGCAACGGCAGCGCCAAGTTTCAGCGGATGTCGTCGAGCCGGCTGATTGGCTTTTCGCGTTCTACGAAGTGGGCCCCCGTTTACGATCATGGTGGTTGAATGGTTAATGGATGATTAATGGGATGGTTACTATAGGTCAATCAACTGGATGGTTAATAGATGATTAATGGATAATTAGTAGATGGTTTACTAGGTCAATCAACCGGATGTCTAGAAACTAATCCGAACTAGTCTTGGATGGTATCAATGGGATTATCTACTAACCAGCTAAGAATTTTCATTTGTTTTTGGGTATCTGGCAGATTGGCCATGGTTTTTTAATCCTTATATAACCCATACGTCATCCCATCTAGGGATATTCCAATCTTGGGAAGATTGGTTGATGGCTTCGCCAGGTCCTTAGACTTGAAGGGCCACTTTGACCTCATCGTGGATGCGGGCGAATTGGCGCCTCGTCAAAGTCGTCAGGAAACGGGGGGTTAGTGAAAGCAGGAGGTTCTCAAAAGGGGATCTTCATGGGATATGACATTAATATAGAATATGGTGGATGGAAGAAATCCGAATCACCAGTTGGTAGGTGGTAAACATCCCATTATTTATAGGCTTTCATCCATCTAAGGTGGTGCAGGATTTCGCTGTCCCATCCACAGTATCCCAATAGATAAGGGCAAGATACATCATAATACCGGAAAGGGAAATCACTTTTTGCTGGGAATATACGTAGCTATTCCATGATGTGATTGTCCAAAACGTGGGGAATCGAAATAGGGAAGTTATTATACGTGCCATCAATGACCATAAAACAGATGATATTGATGATAGTGTGGTTAATACCAATCAACTGCAATTTCCTTATTAGTCATTAGATGTAATGAGTGTATAACTAGCAATGGTCATTGGAATTATGGTTGCAATAGCCATCATCACAACCAGAAATTGGTATTAGTGTTAACCATAATACAGTAATGTTGTTAAAGTTAATGGTACCAAATTCTTTCCATCCTACCTGTATTGATAGGATCACGCGCATATTCCTCGGCGAACCCTGGCAGATGCGAATGATTGGACACATCCGCGGCTAGCGGCTAGCACGGACAAGAAAATGCAAATATCCGAGGCTAGCAGATTGTGTGTGTGTGTGTTGTAAACGTTCACTGATTTTAATCTAACCCATCCATTGCGTTGGCCATATCCCAATTGTCTGGTCTATTTACTTAGTATAATTTGATGCAGCCAGGTCATGCCAAGTACCAAAGCCACCCAACTTAAAACAGTAAATACATTGCTACTGAAGCGTATCCTCCCATGCTTGTGTGATGTGTTCACACAACGTGTATCAACACCCCTCCACAACTGTCCAGTGGGAAACTGACAAGTAAGTCTGGTTCGTTTCATTTCGTTTCCACCAGTGCAAAAGTATCTGGAAGTGTAGATGATACCTCCACTTGAGCACATATTTCACCCACCAATATATCATGTTTGGCTTGGTCACAGGGAAGGTACGAAAAGCAGACGGTGATATTTGACTGATACAGTCCAGGTTTCAAACGTTTTGACATTTCATTTGGAGCTAGCTGCTAGTCATGCGTTGGCTAAATTCCGTTTGTTTACCCATTGTCCACACATGTTTTTGTTTAAATCCCCGCAAGTTCTCATTGTTTCTTGGTTAGATCCAATAGAAACCCCATTTTATCCCAATATTATCCGATTGTTTGTTGTTTTTTTTCCCGTTAAAATCCATGGAATTCCCCCGGGGTCCTCACCTTTCAAGCCGGGCACTCCGTGGCACTCCATGGCCGGCACCTAGGCGGCGCTTGGTTTCGTCATGGATCTGGCGAACTTTCGCTGGGATGCGCTCGCACATGTGGAGGACCGGCTTTGAACGGCCGGGGCTCTCCGGCTCCGTGCGATGGGTTTTTTTCGAGGTATCTTGGGATATTCCCAGTGAATGATAGCTACAAGGTGGTGCCCCCAAACGATAGCTAAGTTGGTTTATAACTCCAATATCTATGGTTTTTAGGTGATATATCTATAGTTAATGGGATTATAAACCAACTTATAACTTGGGGGGCACCACCTTGTACAGGATGGGGCCCCCCAGGGATGTGAACGTTGGTTTATAAACCGTGAAATAATCCTCATGAATAGTAGTTCGTTGTATCTACCATAAACCATTGAATTCAGCCACTTATAAACCAACTGAACGCTATCTCGGGGGCCCCATCCTGTACAATATGTTACAATATGTTACAATATGTTACAATAACTATATTAGTAGGTATGGTGGTTGTAGTAATAGTTGTAATAGTTAATAGACTAGCTAATGACTGTAGATAATAGTTGTGGTAGATAATAATAGTTACAGTGATTAAGAACATTAAGAACAATTTAGTCTTTGAACTATAATATGTGATCGCTGTGATAGTTAGTTAATGACTAACCAGTTATTTTAGTCCTAACTGTAAAATAGTTAATCAATGTTTAATAACCATTAACTCGGGACACCGAGTGGACTATGTAATAGTTAACTTTAGATAATGCAATATTTAATGTATTGTAAACATTATATATATAATTATATATATATGTGTGTGTAGCTAGTCAGTTAATTGAGAATGGATAGCCGATTAATAGTTAGTCAAGAGTAGTGAATGAATGATCTATATATAGCCATAGATATATTATAACATATGTTGATGTACAATCCTCATTAACTATATAGTTCGACACAAGCCCTTAAAACCAGACGTGAAATCGGCGCCACCTTGCACGCATCTTTCGTGTTCACTATGTTGTGTTATTCCATAACATATAGCGCATAGTAATCCCCAAAAAATCGATCAAATGAATTATCGCTATGTCAGTAGGGTGCGAATATTTCTTCATAGACAAATGCATGATTCATTGATCACACTGTGTCGAAAAAAAAATTGGAGACTTCGTGTGGGGCAACGAAGAAACAACAGTTGGTGATGTATTTGCCGCATGGAATGTGATATTTCGGACCTCTGGATCTGTCAACTTCGTGAATTCCATGTTGCAAGTCTTAAAGGTCCAAAAAATGACAGGAGTGGATTGGCAAAAACCCATGGGTTTCCGGTGAAGATTTTATCACCAATCCAATGAGGAGTGCAATCCTATTGCCTAATACTTCATCTTTACTGGTTGGTGGTTTGGAACATGTTTTTTTCCATTCAGTTGGGAATGTCATCATCCCAACCGACGAGTTGTCATATTGTTCAGAGGGGTAGGTTGAAATCACCAAGCAGTCAATTGTTTAACCGAAAAAAACCAATGATTTTCCCCATCAGAAAAACCATTATTAACCAACCCTTAGGTTTAGCACCCACCAAGCAGTTCTCCTAACATCATTGGTGATGAACCTATCCCATCAAACACCAAGCAGTTCTTTATGGAAAAAATGGAGATGGGATCTGCAAGTGTTTTTTTTTATTTTGGCTGATGAAAAAATTGACTATAGATTATAGTATTGGTATTAGAAACCACTATATAAACATATATTATTGACTATAATTATGGGCAATATACCACTATTGATTATAATATTTTGACTATATATAGTTTTATTTTTTGCCCATTAAATATTGCTATTAGAAACCACTATATATATATTAACCATAGTTTATAATATTATTAATCTATCGTTTTATTTTGCAGGCACTGCGAAGGATAGCCTTGTTACTGGACTAATGAAAGATTTGCGGTTCGAATCGATTGACAGGCAGTCTTGGTTGCGACATTTATTTCTCTATCTTTTTGGGGATGACTATATACTGTATTCCACCTAACTGTATGACAATGCATAATTATAGAAACTTGTAACTGGATGGATTATAGCTGTATATAGCTATACATACACTCTTTGAATTTCAGTGTTTTTGGATTGAATGGATTCATAACATGATTTTCCAAGTCTGTGATAAAAGACTGACCTATGCCAAACTTTTGTATGATTTATATAGGTCATTTAGCCAGGTTTTGGGTTTGTCTATGTGGTCATCCCAGTGGATATCAATATTCAATCTTGATTAAATCACCGTTGAATCACCTTTTGATCTCCGATGAAATCTGGATGAAATTCCATTCAATCCCATTGAATCTTATATATATATATTAAAAGAAAAAAACAATTAAATCAAACATTTTCCCATGAAATTCCCGTTAAAACCGCCAGTGATCATTGGTTCTATACCCCGTGATATTTCCCCGAAATCCTCACAGCCATGAGATCCCATGATCATACTGTTCCGTTAAAATTGTCTTAGAAGCCTCTTGATATTCCCATGGAAAATTCCCATGGAAATCCCATTGAAATCCCATGGAAATCCCATTGGATCCAGAAGATGTTCATGAAATCACCATGAATTCCCATGAGTATGGGATTTTTCGATGGAAATTCATAGTGATTTCATGGGAATAGCTGAAGATTCATGGGAATTCATAGTGAAATCCCATGAGATTCCCATTCAATCTCTGGTAAACAAACGGTTTGCTATTGAAGCCATGGCCTAGTCGAAATAGTGGATTTACCCAGCTAAATAGCATGGTGATGTTCCAGTCCGTTATGTAAACGTTTACCAGAGGGTAAATCCCGTACAGGATGGGGCCCCCCAGTGATGTGAACGTTGGTTTATAAACCATGAAATAATCCCCATGAATACTAGTTCGTTAGATCTACCATAAACCATAGTTTTTTGAGCCACTTTTCTAAACCAACTTAGCCCATTGAATCATTATGAATTTCCATTAAATCATTATGAATCCGATGACTTTCCATCGTTATTTGTAGGAGTTGCTTCGTTTGATCTTCAGCTCCCTTCGCCTCTTCGCCTCTTCGAAGAGCTGCTTGCGATTGTACCTGGCGCCGTCGCAGCTGTGTGACTTCCTGGTGCGCGGGGGAAATGCTGTCTGGTGTGGCATACCCCAAATAGGGATTGGTTTTTGGTTATTTATGGTTTTTGGAAATTATAATCTCCAAACAGGTTATTTATGGTTATTTATGGTTATTATATACAAATAGGGATTGGTTTTTGGAAAATGAGCATTTTATGGAGATTATGTGGGAGTCTGATGAGGATTATTGGAGAATTATATGGGAAAATGCTGATGATAGGGGGATATGATGGGGGTTAATGATCCAAGGAAAAGGGATGAAATGACTGAAACATCAACTGTTTATCTATAATGGCTTTATATATGGAAAATTTATAGCTATGACTAAACATTTCAATCCTAAACAATGGGTTTCAATATTTCAATGGATGACCAGTTTAGGATTGAAATGATTGAAACATACCCATTGTTTTGGGGTACACTTATTTTATGTAATTTGTGGAAACCGCAAAATGCGGGGGTGTTGAACAATGAAATGAGGATGTTGCTAATGTTGGTAATGGTGGTTCAATCAACAAAAGTGGTTGTTGAAGCAACAAAAGTTGGAACTAAGTTGGAACTAAGTTGGAACAACGAAGCTGTTTCAACCATCGACATTCGCATCTATGCACTGAAAACGTGGTAGGTTCAGCAATTTTCACCAGCGAAAATGAAGGGTCTCTGTTAGTGTTTTAGGTGCGTGCATGACACCTTGAGCCGCCACCACATACATACAAGTTGGTGCCCCCTAGATAGCTAAGTTGGTTTATAACTCCAATAACAATGGTTTATAGGTGATATATCATGATATATCTATAGTTAATGGGATTGTAAACTAACTTATAACTTGGGGGGCACCACCTTGTACGTGCCCGCGTGGCTGCGAAGTCCAGTGGCCAGCTCGACCAGCTCGAAACAAGACATCCATGGTGCACCATGATCCTCTGACACCGATGCTCCAGTTTGCCTGACCTTTTTGGGCAGTTTGGGCAACAATTGTGACACGACCCAGGTGGAAAACATGGCCCAGAAAAACTATGAATTATTTATAATTATTAAATTGGGAATAATCATCCCAACTGACGAACTCCATCATTTTTCAGAGGGGTAGGTTGAAACCACCAACCAGTAATGGTTATCCAATAACTATGGTTCTCCAATAAACATCATTAACCATCATTAAATCACCATTAAATCAGGATATTGTCTATTATTGAAACAACCCTATCCAGTAATTCTTTCAGGAGTTACTGACAGACTCCCAAAAATGGATGGATAAAATTGCCTCGGAATTCTGGATTTTTCACAGATGGGGATCAGAACAACGTCAACTTACGATGAACTTTTGTCGAGTTAAAATCGTTGACTGAGACATTAAACATGAATTCGCAAGTCAACCCCAAAAAGATATATATATATAGATGATATGATTCTCTTCTAGCAGAATGACGATGTTGCCAATGAAAGTTGTGATCCTAGCAGAAAATTCTGATTTGACCAAGAAAGGTGGACTATGTAGCGGCCCCGTGAGTAATGATGTAGTGGCAACTCTGCACCAATTCAATGGTCAAATTGATTCGCCAAATCTTGATACAAGATGAATGGCTCCAGTTTCCTAAATGGTCGCCATACACAACGATCTCCCTCAGTGATATTTCTCGGTTTATAGACCTTATTCGCTATAGTTACCCTCTGGTAATTTAACGTAGCTATTGAAAGTTGCCATTATTAATGGGTAAATCCACTATAAATGGCATTTTCCACTATTAAATAGTGGATTTACCCATTAATATTGGCCATGTTCCAGTTCGCTACGTTAGTCATTACCAGAGGGTAAACGGGTAAAAAACCCATCGAGAAATTGGAGTTGATCCCCCCGCAGGGCATTTCCAATGGTTGCAAGGTGGTGCCCCCGTTTACGATGGCTAAGTTGGGATATTCCCAGTGAATGATAGCTACCATAACAAAAACCATAGGAAAACCATAGGAACATGGGGATTTCATGGGATTTATAGCTGATTTATGATAGCTAAGTTGGTGAACATAACTCCAATAACTCTGGTTTATAGGTGATATATCATGATATATCTATAGTTAATGGGATTATAAACTAACTTATAACTTGGGGGGCACCACCTTGTGATGATCATTTACCGTATTAAACTGGTCAGAAATTGGGATAGACTATTTGTGGACAAAACCAGATCACAGCAGATGTAATTACATACCAGTGTAGTTTGTCCCATTCCATCCACATTATACACCCATCATATCCCTATGAAATTCCTTGTTCCAAACCCCGATGTTTGTTCGCTAAATTCCCGTGTGTACACATTCATAAATAAAAGGAGAGCCTCTTCAATGATACCCATATTGCGAGTATTCTATCTCCATGAATATCCGCGAATTATCTCCCAATGAAATGTTTGGTTTGTCCCCATCATGGTCAGTTTATCCCCAATTTTTTATTGGTTAAGTCTTACTACATCTTCACTACCACCACATCTCCGTTACATTCCATTACATTACATGATATTCCATTATATCCAGATAAAAAGGTAGAATCTATTTCCCATCTTGAGATTGAATCTTCTCCCTTTTTGCATGCAGATATTGCAACACCCACTTTGGGGGTGCAGTTCCAGGTATAAGTATACCATGCTTATAGGGGGGCCATATTCCAACTTTTGGGGGGTTCAAATCTGTTATACCCATAACCAACCCCAATCGCACCCCCAAGTACTGTCCTAGGGCATTTAGGGCCTTCATCGCCAAGTTATACCAAGGTTACACTATAGCTATAGCCATAGCTTATTATAGCAAAGTTATACCAAGTTATACCAAAGTGACACCTAGATGCAGCTGTACCAGACTTATTATAGCATAGCTTTAGCGCCATGCCATGCCAGGTGGCTTTTGTGACAGCCTTTGGAGCGGAGCCGCTCCAGAGGCCTGCAGCCCCCTATGGTTATGACGAACATAGCCATGAGAAATGGCCCATAGAAATAGATGGTTTACCGTTCTTAATAGTTCCATGGCTATGTGAAAAATAACCAGATGGTATTATGGTATCTACTCAGAATTTGATTTGTTGCAGGGTATCTAAGATTGGCAATGTTTTTTTGCAGGTACCTAGCATACAAAAAGCCTATGTAAGAGCTAAATCGGCTAAATTTCACCCCATGTTCCTTCCAAAAAATCCATCATGGTTGCTTTATTCAACCATCAGTTCTTTTTTGCTCCAAAGAGATAGAAAAGGCTCAATTTGCCACATCATTTTAACAAACTTTAACATACTTTAACATTGAACTCATTTTTCTGTGCCATTTTAGTAGGATTTTGCCAGTGCCCATAGGTAGATTCTCTCTGTTTTTTGGGGTGGCAGCCCTGGTGATTTTCCAGTCGGGCACCGCCCAAACCGCAGACCCAATGGCTGGATGGACTTCACAGTGTCGAAAACGCTGATGCCAAACGACTTGGAGCAGGTGCTTGAGCGCGAGGCGCCGAGGGGTCCTACCGAGTCCCAGCGGAAAGCATTCTGCAGGGGGGGTTGAGATCTATTTGTGAAGATAGGTGTTCTTCATTTCTGCCTCTTCGGAGTCCATACTTAGATCAGAATGGGGTTATTTTTGTGGAGTATCGACCGGCTGTGGTAACCAGAAGAGGTTTGGGATTGATTGCCAAGTAGTATGCAATATCCAAGGCTGTTTATGATCTCAGCTTTGTCTGACGTAAATCCACAAGAAATTGTTTTATTGAAGTGCCGCAAGGTCAAAAGTCAGATTCCAGGGTTGCTAGATGTCAGTGTTTGGAGTTTTTGAACATCACCAACCTAAAAGCATTTCTATGAGATTAGATGCCCATAGTTGGGTGATGTTTCCGGTCTAGGTCACCTTTTCTTTGGTTCTGTGATCTCCCCACTAGTGGATTTGTCCTACTTTACAATGACTTCTGGAATATTCCACGGGAAATAAAGGACACCCAGGCAGTTGGTTGCAAAAAGTGTTAGTCATAAACCTTTTTCGTTTTTGGGGGGAGAATGAACTAACCCGGTCATAGCAATATCAGTAGAGCAGCCAAAGTAACGGGAGCTAGGGATACGGGTTTGTTTGATTTGTCTTGAAATAGGGTACCCCGAAAATGTAGCTTAATCATCATTGTCCCTGGTGAGAAATACGTATAGTAGTGTTGGTTCGTTTCAGTATATCAACTGTGGTGTACGCCCATGATGTGTGATGTTATATCCCCCTCAATAGGGCATATTGTTGGATGGGATATCCCATTATATACCCACTATATTCTCCTCATATTTCATTCTGTCTCATTCTATTCCCATTATATACAGTATCCATTATATGTCCATGATATTCGGATTAATATCAACCTAATGTATTCTTATGATATTCCCATGAACGGTTGGTTGTGCCCCTGTTTTTCACACTTCAAACCCATATTTCATGCGGAAAAGGATATTCCCATTAATTCTCCCGTTCGCCATTATGCTGCCCAAGTATTTTTTGGCAAATCCAGTAACGAACCGTTCCCAACTGGGGTTGATTATTGGGTGTACCACTATGTGGGATGATGCATTGCCGCCCAAGTGTTGATGAATGGGACGGTTTACCACATTACACTGCACCCGCTAGGTTCCAGTTGCCCCCGCAATGTTCTCATTCTATCCCCACTAAGTATATTCCCATTGTAAATCCATTTACCATTGATTATACCCGAATTTTTTCATCATCAAACCCAACCCAATATTTCATGGATGTGGCTAGGGCGGGCTATCCCATGGGACATTGGGACACAAATCGTCAGGTCTATCAGGAACGTTCCCATCAGCGCTATGCGAAGGTTCTCTTCCCAGCGCTCGGCGATGATTTGAGCCATGAGACGCTCGGCAAATTCCTCGACGGTCGATTGGTTGTGGCTGGGATTAGCAGATGGTAAACATACAAAAAACGAACTGGAAAGATCCACCATTTTATAGCTGGGTAAATCCACTACTTCTATGGGCATTTTCAATAGCAAACTTTTAGTTTACCAGATGGTATCTGACAAAAAGGTATCCCATTTCCATCGAGTGCTTAATCATTATGTTCCCTATCAAAATAACCATTTTGGGTATAGCCTATTTTCAGACATCAAAAATGCGGGATATCATCATATACCATCGAGAAATGATTGATGTGATAGTTTCATTTGGCGTCTAGTTGGATTATTTCATTACCACCATCAACCTTATACCCTCTGGTAAACTAACATAACATAACATAACTATGGAAAATCAATGGGCAAATCCACTATAAATGGCCGTTTTCAATAGGGTTATTATCGTTTGGCGGATCTCAGAGAGAATTATCGACAAACCCATGTCTGGTTCGTTTGGGAATGACATGTTCTCCAACTAGTGAACTCACACCGCGCAGGGTGAAACAAGACTTTCTCCGATATGCATTCCACTTTGATACGTAGTACCCTAATTAGTTGATTTATCTATGAAAAATTGTGATTTCCATAGTTATTCAACAGTTTACCAGAGGGTAAGTGGTTCATAACCACACCCAGTTCTGGTAAACAAAATCATAGCCCTTCCCTGGGATACACATCCAAGATGGACTCCGATCATTCTATCAGGGCCCATCCTCTCCAATGTGGGACCTCCAAACGTGATGTTTGTTGGTTGATAAACCCCGTGAATACTACAGTTATGAAATGTTATAAGTACCATAAAACCATAGTGAAATTAGGGTTATGTTCACCAACTCAGCGATTTCGTCAACGGAGTCATTGGTGTAATTCCAGCTGTAAGCGACTATATAACATGTTAGGGGGGTTGTATCCCCATTTAGGGGTATTGTCATAGTAAAAAACATGTTTTGGGCCTCGGATTGTACTCCCAAGTAGTGGACACCACCAAACCACCAACTCGAAGATTTCAATCACTGGATTGATTTAAGGGAAAATCGAAACCGGAAACCATGGATTTTCCCATTAAATATGGGGCTTTCCTGTAAATTCTCCCTTAAAGCAATCCATTGCTTCAAAGCAAAATGGCAACATTCTTGAAAAAGCCAACCGTCCGTCAATGCCAAGTCTAACCTTTGTAGCTGTCCGGAGTTTGAGATGGACCAGAACGTAACTTGCTGAACACTGGTCACCAGAACAATTGGTAAATCCATGGTCGTCTCCAGCAAAATGGCTCTGAAAATGCTGGTTGTCCCATGAACCATCCGCTGGTTCATCATCATTTTCCCATGTCTAAAATGACCATGAATTTGGATATCCCCTATTTTGGGACAATCCCATTTCACATTCTTGGTGATATATCCCATGAATCCCAATCGAACTTTTTTTCCCTGGGTGATTTTGACTCCTCTCATCGTCAAAAACAAAGAACCTAAAGCCTTCTGCACCTGGCAATGCTGGGTTCCAAGGACTCATGCGCCGCAGGGTTGCCCCAATTGGAAATGTTCCATGGAAAAAATGCCAAAAGTTATGCTTGGTTATCAACAAAGTGGAGCCCCCGACATTGCTACGTTGGCGAACATCACTCCAATAACTATGGTTTATGATTGTTACAACTGTAGTGCTCATGGGTTCATAAAGCAACAACCGTCACTGGACCACAATATAAGGCGGTGACCATGGTTTCACCATTTTAAAGGAGATATAATTTGTGCTGGCACTTGTTTTTCCACCTCATCACTAGCGGGCGCCGCCGCATAGGGAGATTTTGCGAGCAAACATGCGCCGCCTGGTTGCGTGGGAACTGTGGCTAACCCATTGCATAGGGACAACTATCACATAGGGCACTCCTTTTTGGGATGTGATATGGGCAATATGGAATAGTTTGAAAATTGGGTGCCCGACATGATTTTTCTGTGTTAGAAAATATCAATAAGATTGCATCATTGTTTTACACCCCAAAAATCAAGACATTACCTGTTATCACGGTTACATACCCACTTGCGAAGTGGAACTGCACACTCCTGCGATACCATTGCATAGCGCGGTGATATCCCAATTACATACTTGGAAGCGCTGTTCCAGCTTTACATGAATGTAAAACAATGGTTATAGGATGTTATAGGGGTTGGTATCCCAACTCATGGGGTTAATAACCATGGTTATACCAACAAAAGTAACCACAACTGCACCCCCAAGTGCTCCTCGTATAAGCTGGTTTAGAATTCCACTTTCACGAGCTTTTGCGGTAGATATATAATGTTGCATCGCGAGTTTCTATGGTTTCCCACATCCTGATCATTAAATAGCTTTGCACCTATCCGCTACAACCTGGCTACAAGGTATAGGATTTAGGAGGGGGGAGGGAGGCAGTCGTGGAAGCGATTCTTGCGTAATTAAAATCGACCGTTCTGAACCGAAATTCGACGTTTTTGAAGCTAGAATCGACGATTTTGAAGCTAAAATCGACGATTTGGAAGCTTAAATCGACCATTTTGAAGCTAATTGAATAAGCTTTGCACCTATCCGCTACAACGGGATCAGATTGCGATGGATCAAGGTGGCAAAACCTAAAATGTGAACCAGCTTTTATGTTTTTAATATACCTCCGGCCGTCCCAGGTAAAACCCTGCCCTGACCATGCGGCTGTGCACCCTATAAAATGGCGCGATGCACTGTTTAGGCTTGTTTGGGCATTCTTGGTCTCCAAAGCCAGGATCAGGATTGGACAGGAGTAGGCAACCCCACCTTAAAAAGGAAAATGGAAAGGTCCCCCCCCACATACCCTAAGCAGTACCTAGACCACATCTACCTGATCACAGGGCCTCTTCACTCTGACTACGTTTTTTAAACTCTGACTATGGTTTCTTAACTCCGGCCCCGCTAGGGTCTTAACCCCCATTGGTTTGGCACTTCCACCCCCGATTGTTTTGAACCATGCCAATTGCCCGTCCAAATAAAGCTGCATTTAGAACCTATTTGGAAAAATGGAGCCCGGCTCTAATTGAAAATGGAGTTGGGCTCGGTTTCGAAATGAAACCCGGCTCTATTTGAAAAAGGAGCCTGGCGCTATTTGGAAATCAATCGCACCGTATTTCGAGATGAAGCCGGGCTCTTTTTAGAGCTTGGAGCTCTAGACGGCCTGGTTCAAAACAGTCGGGGTTAAGACCCTAAACCGGCCAGAGTTAAGTGGTTAACAAGCACACATGAGACGGAGTTTGAAAGCCCCAAAACGATCCTAGTTAAGCCGCCCCCCTCTTCACCTAATAATTACTAATGATTACAAAGATATTATGGGAAACATATCTTTTGTATTCTGTAGTTATTAATGTCAAATCAGGATGAATAAAGCCCCCTAATTGCATTATATCTATATATGGTGATTATGTGGTTCCAATATATCTAGAGTCTATTCAATGGGAAATTCAGGATCCTAAAATGGAGGTACTGTACCATATAAGGCCATATTTTGCTGTGAGATTTCCTTACATACGCAAAGAAATATGGGCCTTGTATATGGTAGGTACCTCCAATCAATCGGTTCCTGAAATTCCCTTTGACCAACTTAGCTATCGTAAATCAGCTATAAATCCCATGAAATCCCATGAAATCCCATGAAATTAGCCATTGATCTATAGCTTATTAACTAACATGATGATTGGGGCACCACGGGCACCGAATCGTACCGAGGCCGCGGGTGCTGGACGTGGGTGGGGGCGATGGACACATGGCTCAGTGGTGGCGCGGGAACCCGGGCACGACATCCAAAAACCCATGGGCTATCCCCATTAACCCATGGGATTTATGGAGGATTTATGGAATATCCCCATTGTAACCATTGTTGGATACCCATTCATAGTTATACCATAGTTATACCATGGTTATACCATCATCTATCTGTTCATGGGCACTGAAGCCAACAGGTAGCTACCGAGTCAAGTCGACTACGGCTAGAGTGCTTGTCATGTACGCTGTGGCACAGGTAGCTAGCAGTGGAACGGTGGCTGTGGTCACTCCAACCTTCTACGCTCACTTGGAAGGTCTACCTGTTGATGTTGCCGCCTACTTCAAGCTCTTCATCTCCTTCTTCTACTCAAGCGACACTCTCCCTCATGCGTACGACTTCAGGAGACTTCAGATCTTGTTGCAACTTGCTGACAACGCCTTGGTCACAGGAGATGCTTCCTGGTTGGATCTTGCTGAGTACTACGCTTCCTTGTCTGGTCTTGTGACCATCGTCGTGGCAGGCTTCTCGTTCTACTACGTCACCATCGTGGCCGTACAACTTGTTGCTCATCCAACGAAGCCTGTTCATCCCCTCTACCCACTTGCTGCTCCAGCTGCTGGAGCCTTCTACCTTCCGTCTCAGATCATCGCCGCCTTCAAGGACAGACGCTTCACGCTTGCGTCCTTCGGAGATGTTGTGGCCTTGGCTGTTGCCTTGGCTGTCATGGGAGGTTGGACGGTTCTCTCGTGCTCATGCAGGCTGGAACGAGTACGCAGTCTTTGCGAGGCTCTTGAGAAGGCGGACTGTCTTCTCTTCACTGAAGCTGATGTCACGAGAATGCCATAAACCACCCATGACTGGGAAGGGTAAGCTTATACCACCTGTAAAAATTGTGATGACTGGGGGATGGTTTATGGCATTGTTTTACCCAAAGTACGATTTTTACGGAAACCTTGGATGATTTGGGGATACCCCCATCTTGGGAAAGTTCAATTTTTCCAGCAATGTAATTTGGTTGGTTTGATTCTCCGACATGTTTTCCACTGAAAAAATGATTTTCCAAACCTCCCTCGGGACAGCGCCGATCAAGACCTGCAAGAATGGGGCCAAAACCCAGGCCAAAAGCATTCAAAAGACCGCGAAGTTGATTATTTTGTACATAATTTGGATGATTGTAAATGACAAGGTTACTTCAAAAATTCAAAGGATGTTTCTGTGATGAATATATTTTTCAGAGGCTATGGTTATGGATGTTGAAACCACTAACCAACCAGTTTATGGATATATATATATATATATATCAATTGCGTAAACCATCCCCACCTAGAATTTAATGTGTTGTTTTTCAATTTGCCAAAAAAACAATAATTAAATGACCCTTCTTTAGAACTTGTTTTTTTCAGATTTTGGTCAAGTAACAGGTGATTGGTAGCTAAGTGAACGGGTGAATTTCACTACCCAGTTTGTTTGTTTTTTTCGCAAGATATCTAAGTTCAGCCATGATGATGCCGTGAGTTGCACTCAATAAAAACAACACACGATTGCATATTGAAAGATACCCCATCTATACTATATATATATATATCCATATACATATGTTTAAAATATTTTCAATATATGTGTGAATGTATTTATGTATATATACAAAAATTTATATATATATATATACGTAAGTTAAATAAATATCATCCCGATCAAAATAATTTCCCTTAGGGATTCCAACATCAACACATTCAAGACAGCTCTTCTGGGAGGTTTAAAGTTGTTTGGATACCCGAATTGGAGAGGGTCTATCGCGTCCTTGTGCGATAGAAACAGCAATATTCAAATCTATTCCGATCCATAAAGATCCAGTGTTTTTGCCAAGTCTATTCAAATCCACAACACTGCTCTTCAAGTCTACACCAATATTGTTTGTGTGTTTTGAACATTGGTGTGTGCCCAGTGTCATAGATATCCACATGTGGATCAATCTGGTGGAACCCTCCAAAATTGAAACCATATTTAAAGTGAATGACAAGAATATCAATATTAATTGAAACCATATGGAAATCACATAACTCAAAAAAATGAATGTGACATAACTTTCAATCACTTTTGAAAATCGCACGGTTGCAAAGAAGGTATGCGTGTTTTACCACTATGCTTGAAACCACCAATTACCACAAGACATTATCGTAACCTCCAATATAGATGCATAAAAATACGGAGAAAATGACCAGTCCTAAAACAATGATAGGAACGTTCCTATCAACTCTTGATATCTTCCATTAGCACAATGGGTTTCCCTATGAAAATTCAAGTCAATCCAAATTTCCATATGGTCCTATGCCCTGCCGAAGGGCAGGAAGGTTTTTCGCAGGCAAGTGAGGCGACAGCCCTTTTGCCACGGCAGTTGGGCACTTTGCATTCCAATCGCGTTGCCCTGCTGGCATCGCTGACTTTGCCTGCTTGGTCGCCCATTTTTCCTTGCCGTGTTTGCCCTACATTGCAGGCTTTGACAGTATAGCCCATCAAATGATGGGATATATTTTTACCGACGAATCGTGTATCTTAATTATGCTATCCAGTGGTTATGGGGGAGCGATTTGGAGCTATGTGATTTCTTTCTCATCCCTATATATATATCCATATTCCCTATTGAATAAGGAGCCAAGGAGCTACGAATTGAGTTTCTCTACATGATCCAATATTTTCCCATGAGTTCCCAAGGTCGCGGGAAGGCTGCGAGGTGCACCTCTTGGAGGTGGGGTTGCAGTTGCGCCGGGATCGGATCCGTGGTTAATCCTTAACCGATGGATGACTGGTTAGTGGTTTGGAACATGTTATATTTTCCATATATTGGGAATAGCGAACCGTATAAGTATAATGATTACTGGTTGGTAGTTTGGAACCATGGAATTTGGATTGACTTTCCATATTAATTGGGAATTTCATGATCCCAACTGACGAACTCATATTTTTCAGAGGGGTAGGTTGAAACCACCAACCAGATGATAAATGGATATTAGTGATGTATAATCAATGTATATTAGTGATGTATAATGGATGATTAATGGAGGATTAAGCAATGGATATTTTGATGCATGATTATAATCGAGGATTATAATGGATAATTACCCTGATGCCAGGTCAATCAACTGGATGGGTAGAAACTCATCCTGTAGTCTTGGACGGTATCAGTGGGATTATCTACGTTCACCAGCTAAGAATTTTCTATTTTGTTGCAGGGTAATTATCTAAGATTGGCCATGGTTTATAATCCTTATATAACCCTTATAGACCCATATATAAGCAGGGATATTCCCATGTATAATTGGGGGGCATACTGCCAACAGTTGGAGTTATTCGGGATGTTTATTGGCTAAGTCGGGATTATGGTAACCAATAGTTAAAGCAAACCGTCTTAACCCAACTAGTATAATGAGATGGGAGATGGGAGCATCCCCAACCGACTGGATAGGTACGTTCAGCATTTGTTTTTTTTGCAATGGAAAATTACCATAACCAGCAGATGCCATGCTTTACCTACATTTGCGATGCGGCGATGTGTTTCTTCCCAAGGAGAAATCCACTTAGGGAATCTCTAGAAGGATCTCTAGTGGTCCGCAAGCAAATCTAAGTTTGTGGGCTAGCAGTTGAATTAATGTAGTATAATTCAGAATAGTAGATGTTTTTTATTTGAAGAGAATAGCATCGAATCATCAAAAATGGCAAAATATCAACACTTCTGTTAATTTGTTACATAGCTATTGAAAATGGCCATTTAGTTCGTTGATTTCCCTATTAAAAATGGTGATTTTCCAGTTCGCTATGTTAGTTTACCAGAGGGTATATCAATTCACGTGGGCAGTGGCGCTGCGCACCATAACAGCACCGTTCCAGTGACACCTTTCCATGCGAGTTCACCTGTGCTGCGACTGAAAGACAACAATTGAATTTTCTGGTGGTAGTTGATACAAGGTGGTGCCCCCTAGATGGCTAAGTTGGTTTATAACTCCAATAACTATGGTTTATAGGTGATATATCTATAGTTAATGGGATTATAAACTAACTTATAACTTGGGGGGCACCACCTTGTAATAAAATGATTGAATAGTAATAGTACTCGTACTAGTAATAGTAATAGTAATAGTTGTTAATAAAATGATTAATATGTTTGTAGTTGTTGAACTAAAATGATTTTAGTAAACTGATGCACATAGTATAGTAAAATCAACTATAGGTAAAGTGAAACAGTTTTAGTTCTTCATCAAAACGTTTTTTTATTGGACGGATTGACTATCAAGAGAGAACGCTATCACCAATTGGTAGAATTGATCACTATTAAGTAACGACGAGATTTCGTTGTAACTATTCTTTAACTGATCAAATAACAATGACTGTGTATGAAAAATGACTAAAACTGTATACTATAGCTGATAATGGTGTGGTGACTCAGTCATATGAATAACGGACATTAGGATTCAAATATACTGTAAATGGACAATTATACCATATTATAGCAATTTCACTGGTAAGACTTTAAGGAAGCAAATATGTTTAATCGTAATCATTCATACGCATACAGTTGAATGCTGATAATTAATTAAAAACTGCCAGTATGCAGTTAACAACTAGCATAATCAACGAATAGCATTTGATTTAATTGATTGACCGGTTTTAAGTCCCTATCAACAGTACATCGTGGATTGATACCCCCAAACATTGTTTCTCCTCAGGACCGTCTGGCCCTAACCATGAATGATGACTGTGGAAATCATGCAACGATAATGATTTATAATGGGTACATAATGTGGTAATTAATTCCATCGGGATGTTAAATGGGATATGAATCACCAACCATGCTTTTTTTCGGTGTCTCTGAAAATTGGGTGTGCCAATAAAATAGCGTGTTAATGGGATGATGACAAGCAAATAGATGTCGGTTTGACTTGTTATGCCATACCCCAGATGGATGGTTTGGACGATGATCTTCCAATATTTTCTCTGATAATGAGGGTATGACGAGTGGTCCGAGATACACGACGCAGAGATACGCTTGCGTGGCAATGTTTATGAATTGATGATATTAAGCAGAAGTTCACAAGTACGTTTCGTGAGTGAACATGACTTGATCCACATCAAAGGGGATACCACCAGTATTACATCGAGGTGCAACCAATCTGATTGCTTATTCTAAACCCATGAGCTGGGGATGGGCATCCATTGGTGATTGAATAGATGACCAATACCTAAATCGCGGTTTCCGTCTCAGAAATTAACATGTGCATATGGAAAAAAAGCCAACCTTTTATAGATCAGGGGAAACAGGGGTCCTGCATATCTATGTAAACGTCAAACAGCAGCCTGGTGACAAGATGACGTGGATAAGAAGAAGATCCCGGCATCAAAGCGTGACAACGTGAAATGGTGGAAATGGTGAAGTGGATTCAGGGGTGCTATGTTTTGAGCAAGCCCACATCCTGAATGATGTAAGATCTGTTGCAACAATGTCCACCGCTTGGCTGATTGCTTTTGAACAGCCCCATATTGGCTGATGAACTGATGCATTATTTGATCCAAAAACCCAGGATTTATGTCTTACAGATCCACATGATTTCATGGATAAGTTACATGTTGTTCCAACTTAAATCCCAGATGTTTACAGGAAAAGCTGATTTTCTGTGTTGTTGTTTCCCGAAATCCCCCATTGCTGTAGCTTTGTTTCCTAAAACAGCCCAAGTTCCCCCAATTCCACATTAGATAAATGAGGTTCTTCTCGAAATTCCTCACATCCAAATCCATCTAATAATGTATATGATGATGATAAAATCCCTTTTTCACATAAGGTTATATTCTGGTTGGTGGTTTGGAACATTTTTTATGTTCCCATATATTGGGAGTTTCACCATCCCAACTGACGAAGTCATATTTTTCAGAGAGGTAGGTATACCACCAACCAGAATCATATCCCCAATTATCAACCATGGTTAATGATGGTTACTGATAGTTAATGATGGTTTTCATGTGGGAAAACAATAAGTTTGTAATATTAAGTTTGCATGTAGGTCAACCACCAACCAGTCAGGTTATATGATTTCACATTTCTGCAGGTTTTTGTCCCTCAAAATCTCCAAGCCACGCCATTCTCAGGTGGACGCAAAGTTGGTGGCTGAAGCGCAGATGCGCCTGGGAAAGGCGGTCGAAAAATTTCTGGAAATTGGGGAAACATGGCGGTGGATGGGTGAATTATAACGACCTCACTGTTCTCCCTCACTGGGAATCATGGTTTTTATAGGGGAATCATCCCCAAATGGCCCAGCATTTCAGGTTAGTGAAATATGATAATTTACCCAGATAGGGTGGATGGGGGTTGGAAATGGGTGGTGCATTTTTTTGTCAAAAACCCAAGATCCAACTATGATAGGAATTGTTTATAGATGCTGTGGATGGGCCAGCGAAATCCGATAAACCACCAAAAAGATGGCTGAAACATGTTGAAACTCTTGAAATAATGGGATAAACTACCTATCAACTGGTGCAGGATTTCGCAACCATCCACCGTATGGCGAGATATCCCAGATCATGGGAAGATGATCTGAAAATGGAAGGTTTCTCCACATCCAAGTGTTAGAGGGTGATTGATAAATGAGGTTAGCATTTTGTGGCGATCTCTTGGGATATATCCTAGTTGATTGGCTGTTTAATGGGCATATCATAGAGATGTAATATATATATATATCTATAAGACGAATCTTGTGGTGATTAGTTAGCGGAGAAATGATCATCCTGGACTTGGAAATTCCTCTGCTCATAAATGGAGCTTTTAATTGGCTGAAGATACTTTGATTTTCCTAATGGGACACCCAACGATTAGGGAATCTATAGGTAATATGTTCCTCTTTCGTTGGTTTTCCAAAGATCCCAGTCATTAGTTGAGCAATGTTCCCTAAACTTCCCACATTGGTTGACGATGGGAGCCCCAAGGACAGACGGTGTCAAAACTGGGGTCAACGGCCCCAAAAAGATCCGAAGAGTGGATCGTTATTCACGGAGGGTGCAGGATGGGGCCCCCCAGTGATGGTTATAAGTTGGTTTATAAACCATGAAATAATCCCCATGAATACTATAGTTATATCTACCATAAACCATAGTTTTTCAGCCACTTATAAACCAACTGAACGCTATCTTGGGGGCCCCATCCTGTGTGATTTGACGCTATTTTGGTATGATTATCTTCTAGCTTTTTTGGCATTGCTAGGAAAAATGATACGGGAGAATCACAATCATCCTTGATGAGAATAATCATAATCATAATATCATATTTATTTCCAGTGGTGGCCTGGTTGTCTGAGATTCTGTTTGCATCTTGAGGACAGGTTCATGTTTGCCAATCAAACACAGGCCTTGCAAAAGGCATTGTTCCTTGTTTTTGTCATTTGTTTGTCTATTGCGACCCTGTGTTAGACAGAAAGGCACGCTGTCAGGTCCCCATTTTTGCACGTTTTTAGGAATGCAGTGGTTCTACTACATCATGTTTGATCATTTATGTTTATATACCCTCATTTGATAATGTTGCTTTATGTCATGAAAGGATCGACATGAAGAACCTTGAACACATTGGAAACCACTTTCAAGCTATTGCTAGAGATCCCCAAATATTGTTAGACTTTCCCAGAGGTTGCGAGAGATTTCCAGAGAACCATAAAGATCCCCAGGGAAAAGGAAGGAAGGAGAAAATAGTAACATATATATACATATATATATATATATATGTATATATATATATATTGCTTCCCTCAGTGTAGAGGGGGTCCAAGACAAAAAGTGTTTCTTTCGACCCCCCCCCTAGTCCTCCTAGTCCTCCTATATATAGCCCCCCCTAACGGCCGGCTACGGAAAGCTAACGTGAACAATCGGACTATGAAAGTCTATTGACGGAACGTGAAATGAAGGAACGGACTACCGAATACAAGAACGATAGAGCTAAGGATTAACACACCAAAAGCAGTACATCTCCGAAGAACTTTGATCTTTCATATGATCAAAGATGTAGAAAAAACCTGATTTTTTAAGAAAAAAAGAAAAAATTAAAAACTAAAAACCACGTATTTTTGGGGACCTGATGGCGCTACACTCTCGTGTTAGAAAAGGCGTCATGATGCAGAGCTCCAGCATTGCAAGAAACAAACGGTTCCCCTGCAGTTTGTTCCTTGGCCAGCTTGGCAACCAAGAAGACAAGCAAGCGGGCCATCTCGGAGGGCTCAGTCCCACGCTCAGCGGTAGCAGCACCAGGTGGTGGTGCAGCTGGAGCGGTGCTGTTCGCAGATTGCGCCTCGCTGGGTGTGGTTCAATCCTTGACACCAGAGCAGTCGTTCAGGTCCATCTTTGAAGGATCGTAATGAGTCAAAAAAGGATGTTGGGGAACTATGTTTCCCTAACGAACCTGTCCTGTCGCCACGTTTTTTCAACTGGTTTGTTCCCGGAAAAGCTTCCAGCTCAACAGCGATGCACACCACAACTCCGATGTAGGAAATTCACCATCGATATGGTGATAAGGACCATTGAAACAGGAATATGAAACTTACTAACTAGGATTGTTGCTTGGATGTGCATCCCAGTTACCCCGGTCATACGCCTCCTACTGGGTATGTTACCATGCCAATGCTGTAGTTTTGAAAGTTTGGGGATGAACTACCCAACTGAGAAAATTACATGTAGCTATTGGAATTGGAAACCCAACATATGAAGAAACGCAACTGTAGACAAATAGTTCACTGGTAATTCAATACTTTGGGCTATATTGAAGGATAACCTTAGCAAGCCTTAGCTTGTGGCTTTCCCCAACATCGGTTGATTTGATCATCCCGATGCTGCCAGGAGCGGGTCACCCTGCACGATGGCAAATCCTCGTGGCCCTATGCAGATGGTTTCTTGGGCCGGAGCTGCTAAAACCTGGCTGGTTGATGATTAGTTGAGGGGTTACCCTCTGGTAAACTAACACAGCTATGGAAAATTGATGAAAATTCATAGTTCTGGATGATTTGCCAATTAAAAATTGTGATTTCCATAGCTATGTTAATTACCAGATGGTATACCAGGAGTACCGCACCGGTGGCGGAAGTTTCAAAGATAGACAACTATAGGAGAGGTGAGTTGTTCTGATGCATGGATGGCAGAGCGTATCCACTGATGGACCGAAAGGTGGTTGGAGGTGTGCTTTTTTGCAATGGTTGCAATGGTTGCAGTGGTCACCTCACCCACAGCTGCTGGATGTAGTATGGTGTAGTCCAACTGTAGTTGTAGTGTAGTGCAGTGGGGCTGTAGTTGTACTGTAGTGTAATAAGTGTAGCGTAGTGGCAGTTGTAGCTGTAGTTGTAGTTAGTGTAGTGTAATGGAGCGTAGTGTGGTGTACTGTAGTGTGGTGTACTGTAGTGTTGTGTACTGTAGTGAATCATGGTGTAGTGTAGTCTAGTGTAGTTTGTAGTTGCAGTTGTAATTGTAGCTATCTTTCTGTCTGTCTGTCTGTCTGTCTGTCTGTCTGCAAGCTCGAAAACGAAGCTATTCTGAGAGACTTCCTCATTTTTTGATCTTAATATCAAAAACGCAGCAAGTCTGCGAGACTTCCTGATTTTTTTGAACTTGACAATGTCAAAAACGAAACAACTCGGCGAGACTCCCTCATTTTTGAAGTTGACAACTCATCAAAAAAGAAGCAATTCTGCGAGACTTCCCTCAGCAACGGAAAGTTGAGTGCAGAACTGACTTCCTCGTACCAATGCGCTTTGCGCTTTTTCACTCCATCCGTCTAAAGTACTGCGCCTGCCACGAAAAAGCGAGGCCGGGTCATACTAAGTTCTCCACCCACGCAAAATCATCTTAAGGCAAACCTGAAGATCTGATGCTCCCAAAATGCAACCCTTCTCGGGAAAACAGCGCCCTAGCTTCCTAACATATCTCTGATGAATATGTTTCTTGTACCGCGCGTGCCACGCAAAATGCATCTTTGCAGATCCCTTTTCAAATTTCCCACGCTTGCCATCGTTTTTGGAACTATTACAAAACCGTAATTTTGCTCACTTTTGACAAGGTGCACAATCCCTCGCGCCTGCCACGCGAAACGGCATCTGAACGTCCAAAAGAGGCATGCACTTTTTCAACATCTCAACTTCCGAAAGTGCTCCGAGAATGCTGTGCTTCGTACATTTTGACTTCAAAATGTGCCACAGGTGCTCCGAACATGCGGTGTTCTGTTTTTTGCATTTTGACTTGGAAACGTGCTTCGCGCCACACTGGCGTACAATTTTTCACCTCTCATCTCCCCAGATGGCTCCGCACCCGCCGCTTTAGCAAGCCTACTTTTCAACCTTCCGGAGCCACAAAACATTGGAAAAACAGAGTGTTTCGCGACTTTTCTACCTTTTCGCGCACCTGGATCTTCTTTCTTCTGACTCTTTCTCTTTCTTCTTCTCTTCTCTTCTCTTCTCTGACTCTTCCCACCTCTGCTTTTTCATCTGTCCATATTGTCGGAAGTTTGACTAAACTTCCTTCGGTGAAATTTCTCTTTTCCTATCGCCAGCAAAGACTGATCAAATATCTTGCTTCAAACCGGCCAGGGATCCTGAGACCTTTCGTGAAGCGAAGGCGCTGCAAGACGGTCAGGAAGCGATGCATGAGCTGCATGATCAAAAAGGATGCGACGCTTTGCAGACTCAAAGACCTCCAGAACCTGTGGGACCTCCGCTGCAGCGATCTCAGCAGTATCTTAAGACAGAGGATCTGCCAGGAGTTCGTATGTGGAGGGTTGCTGGTGACTTCATCCCTCAAGAGATCTGGTTGGAAGAGGTGGCAGTGGTTCAGGGCAAGCTGATTGCCATTGATTGGCATCAGGTCACTGACGTGTGCAGGTATTCTGGGCGTCGGCACGTTCAAGCTGCTGACAACGGACAGGTTCCGGTCGACGTTGCAACCTTCTACAACAAGGTGAATCGAAGGCTTCGTCCGGGCGATCTTCAGGTGATCATCAGTCACATTGAGAGGAGTGAAGACCATTTGCGTCGAGTCTGGTAGAGGCAATCTTCGGAGTTTTTCTGCCTGCTTGAAGACAACAGGAGAAATCCAGGTAGCATCCTTCCATTTTGTGCCAGAAAAATGCATGAGGCAGGAACCTTCTGGAAAAGGAGATGGCACTGCAGAAACACCAGCTGAAGTTTGCAACCGGGAGACTCCAGCAAGATATGAGCAACCACAACGCCGTGTTAGAAATGACACCTGGCAGGAAAATGCTCACCCCCACAGCCACGAGTAGCTATAACATTAGCTGGGGACCTGATGCATCCCTCTTGAACGAGCACCTGGGTGGACACTTGGTATTCAAAACTGAAGCTTTTCAGTCTATCCCCCGACGGGGTGGTGGTTTGCCTCCAACTGTCCTCCGATAATAAAAGGTGGCAATGAAACATCCCCCATCTATAGGGGATCTTTCATTGCCACGTTGGATTGTTCGCGGATAATTTGTTGATTTCCCAGCGACCAGCGACCGTGACTCTGATGAGTGTTGTCCCATCTTTCTAGATGTGTAATCACGGGCTCACAACCGCAGCATGACCCGTACGACTCGCTGACCCATACCTAACTTCATTGGAATTTCTCCCACAAATTGACTGGTTGGGGGGTTTCAAATAGTTTTGTTTCATCAATACTTGGGATAATCAGTTGGGATGACAAGCATATTTTTTGGGTGGGTTAAAACCAACACGATCATATCCACAACAAGAATGATTTTCCGAATTGTCATGGGGATTTTTGCCCCGGGCATATTGGGAATATAAAATCCAGAGGCTACCCTCCAGTACTCAAAGGTGGTTTGCTGGAAAAAAAACATGTAGTTCGATGATTTCCCGGCGAACTAAACCTCCATGACCAGTGCGGGAAATTCCTTACTATTTGATGACCCAAGGGTAAGTTCGAAAAATATGGACCCACTGAACATGCTGATTTCATCTGACCATGTTGGATTTTTCGCGGTACCCTCTGGTAAACTAACATAGCTATGGAACATCACAATTTTTAATAGGTAAATCAACGAACTAAATGTGCCAGTTTCAATAGCTATGTAACAAATTACAAGAGGGTAACTTTCCCCCAGGTTGCTTTGACGTCTGCCTGCTGCTTTTCGTTCTTCACCACATCCGTGACGCCGTTGAGACGACCCTGCGGGAAGCGGCGCGCGTGGCAAGGAGAGTGCCCTGGAAGCGGACACGAAGGGGGGTGGTGAAGAAAGTGGCGGTGGCCAAAAGACAAGATAGGCCATTTATAGATGATTCACCAAAAGCTGCAGGGTTATTTTCTGGTAAACTTACAGTTTGCTATGGAGAATGTGCCATGAGTTCAATGATTTATCTATTAAAGATTGTGATTTTCCAGTTCGCTATGTTAGTCATTACCAGAGGGTAACCATCAACATGGGGCGGGCCTTAAAATGGGGGATCCCCAGTCGACATGGGTTTCAATACTCATCCATGACTTGGGTGATTTTGGGGATACACCCAGTTTAGGAAACCCCCATTTGATGCACCATTTTTTGGCCAACTTATTTTCGTACAGCCCAAGACTTCAAGATTGTCCAGCACAGATAGGGAATATCATAATGCGGGGTTCCAGAGGAAGCAAAACAGAGCCATCGAGCCATCAAACATGTTGTGAAAATGCACGGCCCAACAAAGCCATCAAAAGCCATATGTGTTTTTAAATGAATACACATGGCATGAGTCTGAAACCATGCTGGGTTTTAGGTGAGAACTTGGGATCAAGCCAGGCCGGGATTCGCAACCCAAAACATGGGACTTTTCCAGCAGAGAAAGTGATAATTTACAGAAACCTTTAAAAATGTTAGTTTAAAACAAAGAAAAAACGTTTCGGGTTGATTTTCCCAACAAAAACGATCCATTGGAACCCTTTGGAACCCGTTAAATCTCTTTATTAGCACCATAAATCACATTACACCAACACTAAATCGTACAAATCATATTAAACCACCATCCAATCTCATGAAATCACCATTGAACCACCATTGAATCACCATTAACCCACCATAAAATCCCATTCAATCACCATTAAATCTCATTCATTATCAAATCATCATGAAAAATCACCATGAAACCACTATCAAATCACCATTAAACCACTATTGGATCACAATTTAACCACCATTAATTCACCATAAAATCCCTTGAAGTCTCATTAAACCACCATAAAATCCATTAAATCACCATTGAATCACCACTAACCCACCATAAAATCCCATGAAATCACCATAAAATCACCATTTTCCCATGAAAATCGCAAGTCCTGACGTCGTCGTGAGGTGCTCGTTTTGGAAGATCAACCGCGCACGGCTGCGAGTCGAGACTTGGTGAACCTGGCGGTGCAGGCGTGGAGGATATACAACCAACCTTTGGGCTATATAACCACTGGTTGATGATGATGGTTATCCCACTATAATGGCTATAAATGATGGTTAATGATGGTTAAGAACCACTGGTTGGTGGTTTGGAACATGAATTTTATTTTCCCCAATAGGAACTGGATGATGATCCAATCTGACGAATTCATATTTTTCAGAGGGGTTGAAACCACCAACCAGACCAACATTAACCAACCAAAATGGGATAGTTAATGGATGATTAACGGATAATTACTGGATGGTTAATGGATTGTTAATAAATGATTAAAGGATAGTTAGCGGGATGATTAGCGGATAGTTCATGGGATGATTAACGGATGATTAACGGATTAATCAATGGATTAATCAATGCATATTAGTGATGGATAATGAATTTCTGGGGCCGTTTTTTGCAAATCTTTGTGTTGCCACGTGCCATGGAGGTCACAGCTCAACACTTCCGACCCTTTGGGCAAGATCCGCAAGTGTCACTTGGCGAGTCGAATGTCTGAATTAATCATCCAAGATGGAGACTAATATAACTAATCCATTTATTGGGATTTGGGGCTATTTCACTGGATAAATATCTATATACATATATATATATATGTATTTATTTATTTATTTATCTATTTATTTATAATATGTGTATATATATATATATGTGTGTGTATTTATTAATTTATATGCATATGCATATATCATATATTTAGAATTACGTGGATTTCTATTCCTGGATGGATTGGAAGAAGATTGGGAACGAGAATCCATGTGTTGACGGGGACTAAAAGAGAAATCATGAGAACACACCCAAACTTTCAAAGACGTAGTGACGATTATTGGAGTAAGCCATCCCAATTTTGACCCTATCCCATCTTCATACTGAAGTATATGTATATATATACTACATATATTGTAGTTACCTTGCCTGTTGATGGCATGTTGGGATCCTTGATCTGAAAGTACCTGCTAATCCAAACGATTGGAATGCCTTTCTACAACTTTGAGCACGTTCAGTGTTTTTTGTCTGATTTTCATTGTTTTAGATGTGTTCAATCCCAATTGTTTGCAAGTTCTACCCCCACATGTGCTGGTGCGTTTTACGTAGGGAATGGATGGGTTGCTGGGGGTTGCTGGGATGATTATTGATAGTTAGCCAGTGGATCATTCCCGAAAATTCCCTACTAAGCACAAGTAAGTTTTCAATTCTACCACCCAAAGTTTCCCCGAAATCATACGGGATGCCGAGGTACATGCAGAACATCCGCCCTGACGTCGTGTGGAGGAAGCTCTTCCACGAAGCTGGTCTACAGTGCGTCCGCCAGGTGCTGTTGTTGATTTTTGTCACAGGTTTCAACACCAAAAAGTGAGGAGGGAAAGGGTTGTCCTCTGGTAAACTAACAGTTTGCTATGGAAAATGGGCCATTTATAGATGATTCACCAAAAGCTGCAGGGTTACCTTCTGGTAAATTGACAGTTTGCTATGGAAAATGGGCCATTTATAGATGATTCACCAAAAGCTGCAGGGTTACCTTCTGGTAAACTAACAGTTTGCGTGCCATGAGTTCAATGATTTAGGATTATGGTGATTTTCCAGTTCGCTATGTTAGTCATGACCAAAGGGTAACCATCAACAATATGGGGCGGGTCTTAAAATGGGGGATCCCCAAGTCATCTTCAGATTCAATACTAAACGGATCTAATGTCGGATGATTTGCAGGATATCTAGGACCATTATCACGGTGTTTAACATGAGCACGGGATGGGATTAGCCCATTTATATTCCTGCCAAATCCCTTTTTTTTGTTGGTTCATCCCCTCACGAATCTCCATTTTCCTGTCAATGTGGTGGGCATGGGATCAATATCATATTGTTGGTTAGCTATATCCTATTGAACCCACTAAACTCCGTATCTATCCATATTTATAGATGATGTTACCATGAAAATAACTCCCATGAATCATTCCATTAACAACTATAATGTATATATATACATATAATCCCATAGAACAATCATAATCAAGATATGCCCATTTCCAGTTGCTTTCCCACCATCCCCATGGTGTACCCATCAGGTGGAGATCTGTGGGACCCTCCAACATCCTGTGCCGCACACCTTCTACGAGCTCGCATCGGTCACAAAAAAAAAGCGAAGCGCTCGCTGCGCTCGCTGAAGAGGGAAGACTTTGGTGAATTTTGCCCAGATCTTTGGAGCTTTTCCGAAACATTCTGATATTGTAATATCATCTTGGTGAAAAATGTGGATTGTATGATTGTACCATGACGAGTTTGAACTGGTGAAAATTGCCACCACGAAAAATGGCCAAGTCCTCTGGGCTTGGAAGCTAAATGTGTTACTTGGATGTCCCAGTTAGTAAGTGGCTAGTAACCATATTATACATCAGTTTTATATGGGTTAAAAATACATTTAGTATATATATATACTACACCGTATACATATGGGTGATTCACCACTTACGAACTGGGATGTAATCCCAAGTATGAAGCCATGAAGCCAGGAACCCCTGCTCGTTCGCACACTCACCGGTCATCTCGTGCCTGTCATCAATGTGTTACTGGCCTAAAGGTAGGACAACGTATGCACCATACAGGACAACCAGTGACAAGAACACAAGCAGCATTTTTTTTAGCACTAGCATTCGCACCATCATGTACACCCTTTTTTGTACCCTTCATGGTGCAATTCCCATGCTTCAATATGGATCCAAAGGTGGTTTGGATAGCAGTGTTGAATCACTCAACACAAACTTTGCACCCAATGTTGCGGCCACAGGTATCCGCACTCACTTTGGTGCCTCTGACCAGTAGTTGCTCATTGTCAAATCTAACAGTCTCTTGCTCGAATTCCCAATTTTGATGCTAGGGGTCTCAAATCCACATTTTTGGGACTTAAAATCCCCAAGTTTCTGCTAAACTCCATATAGATTCCCCACTAGGCGTGAAGAGGTAGACATTACAAGTAGATCTCTTCGGCTTTGACTCGGCGCCTTGCGCTATGTCTTGCAACTGAGATGCTGTGTGACACGTTGACGCTTGGTGAAATGCGGCAAATATGTGCGCTCGAAGATCGGGAGTATCTATGTACACCACGGTGAGTATTAGATAATAATGCGTAGATACTATCTATGTACATATCGGGAGTATCTATTCCCCCATATGTTGTATCCACAATAGTAATTGTTGATATGAATGGATACAATTTATATAGGTTTTTCTGCGATATTGGGATTCATCAGTGTCATCAGCTCCATGGCGGGAAATACCTGCACTCAATGGAGGTTATAGCATTTTATAGCTGGGAAACTCATCCAACTAAATGGGTGATGTTTTTCCAGCCACGGTTGATTAAATACATGCGAGTAGTCATGAATAGTTTTGAGGATTGCCATGGATGGGGATATACTAGCTAGTTTTTTTAATTTTGTGGGGCATCCAAGACACCCTACAAATTATGGTATAATGTCAACTCCGGATTTTGCTAAACCATGGTTCATTAATTGTGGGGGTACCCTCCAAATAGTCACAATATGATACATAAATGGTACCCCCCAATTAAACAGCCTAGGGGTTTATTAATCCAGGGTTGACATTATACACCATTAGCTAGGGGATCAAAACCGGTCTGAAATCATCTTTGGGATATAAAAATATATAATCACATGTTCCATTTGCGCAGCCCAGATTTTAGTCAACCTGTGCTTGGCAGTTTGATGAGATGTGGTGAGTTTTGTTTGTCATAAATGGGGAAAGGCACAAAACAACGAAGAGTTTTTCTCATGGTATCTAAGATTAGCCATGAGTACACACCCGATTTGTTTCTCATTTCGGAATCATCCCCATCTGACTGAATGGGTAGAAACTAATAATTTATGTGTTTTTACCTACAAATGGAAAATGACCATAACATACAACCATAGTCATCATCCATAGATATTGACCATAATTATCAAAGATATTGACCATAATTATCAAAGATATTTAAGTGTTTTGTATTATCAAAGATATTGACTCATCCATAGATGGGATAACCCACTTTTCCAGGGGACTTTTTTTCGGCTTATCAAAGATTCACCATCTGACGGCTCGGCCGACACTATGACTGATCGCCCCCAGTGGAGTTGGAAACTTTTTCCAATGGGATTTCCCATTAGAATAGCTGGTTGGTGCTTTGGAACATGTTTTTTCCCATGAAAAGTTCGGAATTTCCATCCATCCCAAGTGACTTTCACTCCATCATTTTTCAGGGGGGTAGGTGGCTCAACCACCAACCAGATAGCTATTATCACTCAAGTATCCCATTGAATCGACATGTTTCCGCCAGTATGGGTCAAAACTGGTTATATCCCATTCCATCCCATGGTTTATCATCGTTTTCCCATTCATAGCCCTTTAACCATTGATATTCCATTATATCTCACTAATTCCCATCACTATGATTTGATGGCACTGTGGTTATACACCATTTTGTTGGTGATGTTTCCCATTAATCTCCCAACCAATGGAACCTGTTTAAATATATATATACTGGTATATCCCATTCAATGGCCATTTAAACATATGGTAACTATTAAACCATTATATATATATACACATATATATATATACATATACATGTACATATACATTTACATATACATATACATTTACATATACGTATACGTATACATATACATATATATATATATACACATGTATATATGGTATCCTGACCCCATCTCAGTCAAGTCTCCATTGTCCATATCTAAGGTCCAGCCGCTGCCTTCCACTCTCACAACTCTCGTGTCGCTTATTGAGGGTGGGGAAGCTCAGACGACCACCGTATGAGCCATTGAAGCCTGGTGGATTGGTTCATTTGTTGAGAATAAGTAGAGTAATCCCAAGAAATGGATATTACAATTGGAAAATCAAAATTTTCATTATATAATGAAAAAGGATTGGTAATTGCCATAATTTGGTAGATTTAAAATGAACCAAACCTTTTTTATATATGAAATGTTGGATGATATAGATGATACTCATAGGATGAGTAAGGAAACCCTACTGTGGATGGTTGCGAAATCCTGCACCAGCTGGTGCGCAAAATCCCCTAATAACCCCCTTGTTTACAGTGTTTCATGATGTTTAACTTCAGACTTTGGAACTGGTGCAGGATTTCGCAACCATCCAGAGTATCAACCTGGTATTTTCAATGACTCACCTGGTGATCAACGGTTAGGTCCCAGGTGGGTATCCAAAATTGGGATAGAGGGGATGTGAGGGGATGACAAATTTGAGAGGTCAGGCAACCCACGACTTCGATGGCTACAAGTCATGGGATGTGGCGACCTGCGCCCTGCGCCCTAAATGGACCATCGAGTTGGAGGACTGGGCGGCACCCCAGATGCACAGCTGCACAGCGACCCCAGGAGAATGTGCTGGGCATCCCGGGGAGGTCCTATCGGTGGAAGTGGCTTCCGACAGCTTGCCATCCTGCCAAAAGCATGTTCCACCCGAAAAACACAGGGTGCATCTTTTTCAGACAAGAAGCGTTTTTTATTTTAGATTTACCTGGGAACGATTGGGTGGCGAACCATCAAAATATATAGGATTTATCAGAGATTTACCCTCCAGAATAAGTGGGCAGACCTTTCTTCGGGCGACAGTACCCAATAAAAATTAATTACCCTTCGGTCTCATCAAACATAATCCGGGAACTAAATGAAGGTTTATCGCTGAGAAAATCATTGAACTAAGTGAGAAATTTCCCAGCAAGCCATGTTTGATCACCTGCATTTACTGAGTCGATGATTTGTTGGCATTTTCCAGATGGGAAATCCACATCATTTGGGGAATCTATCACGGATTTGTTTTTGGGGGGATTCCTTAAGACCTGCCTTTCCTTTCAGTGGAGCCACCACAGCGGCAACGTTGGGGATCGAGCGACATCTTTTTTGGATTTCATCAAAATTTGGGAATCAACCATCCAAATTTATGGGATTTCGTCAAGAACAAATGAATAGTTTCATGATGTTTGATGTTACTTACCCTCTGGTTATTTAACATAGCCACGGAAAATGGTCCATAGAAACAGCTGGTTTACCTTTAAAAAAATGGTGAATTTCCATGGCTATGTTAAATAACCAGAGGGGAATTAAATTTTGCTAAATCTGTGGGCTGCTCCTGAAGTCTGACCGTGACTTTGTCGGTTCTGGCGGTTCTGGCTGTCGAAGAATCTCCTCACCTGGTTGGTTGACGGGTCTGTTTGAAATTGGGCTATACCCCCAATATGGTTATGTCAATAGGGAAAATGACGACTAACCATCAAGCTGTTGGGTAGGCTTTTTCAGAACCCATATCTACTTGTCCTAGTTGGGTTCAAAGCCACACATTCAGAGTTTGTTTTCCAGTAGTAACTTCCTTTGGGGTGCGGTTGGGGTTCCTAATGGCTATAAACATGTGGTTGTTTTAAGGTTTTTTTTGCCCTCATAAATTGGGATGTGGGGCCCTTATGACTATGGTAAAAAAGAAAAACCAAATCCACTTGGTTCGCTGGAACTGCACCCCCAAGTAGTAGCCATATGTGCCATGGTCAAAGCATGGTGTTTGGTTTATGGTCATCCATCCAATGATAGGATTCCTGATAGTGTACATATAAATCCCTTTCAAAATGGATGGATGACCATCACCTAATGTAGTTTATAAAATCCCTATCAAGATGCATGGATGACCATCATTTGTATAGTTTTAGTATGTGGTAGTTGTAATCCAAATAACTTGACCTTGGCATATATGTTCGTTCATGTTTATGGTCCTCATTTACATCCCCCCGCTTTACATCCATTTACAACGTGGGGCCCCCAAGCGTGATAATTGTTGGTTTAAAAACCTCATGAATACTATTAGTCAGAAGTACCATACTTAGCTATCATAGTTCAGAGATAAATCTGCATGAAATCCCCATATCTTTGTTGGTTGATAAGTTAAATCACCATTTTCCCATGGTTGTTTGTTTCCAGACCGAAGACCCCCAATATTTCCGATCAGCGATCGGCGACTGAGTCCTGGGGATGGCTGGAGAAGGAGGTGCCGAGACATTACCAACGGGGAGGACGATCAAAAGGTTGCTGAAAATTGGCGTATACCAAGGATATGATCACGAGGGAGGACTTAACCA